CTGGCTGAACAGTCAGTCAACTGCTTCGAGTCTTGCACCCAATGTTCTATGATGTTGTTCTCTATCCCAGCATGCAATGTTCTTAACCATCTGGTACCAAGACTTCTTTTTACAAACTGAACAGTAACTGCAGTGTTTTCATAATGACTGACTGAACAGTCAGTCAACTGCTTCGAGTCTTGTACCCAATGTTCTATGATGTTGTTCTCTATCCCAGCATGCAATGTTCTTAACCATCTGGTACCAAGACTTCTTTTTACAAACTGAACAGTAACTGCAGTGTTTTACAATGACTGGCTGGACAGTCAGTCAATTGCCTTGAGTCTTGCACCAACTTTCTATGATGTTCTTGTCTGTCCCAGCATGCAATGTTCTTAACTATCTGGCACCAAGACTTCTTTATACAATTTGAACAGTAACTGCAGTGTTTTACCAATGACTGGCTGGAAAGTCAGTGGACTGTCAAGTCTTGTACCCAACCTACTACGATGTGTATCTTTATGCTGGTGAGACTAATCCCCCATCTGCTACTACAGAATACAGATTCCCAGGTCAACGATTACTCTCCATCACCGTCTCCCAACAGTGCATAAGGAAAAACGAAAAAAAAACTGAAAAATTGTAAAAATGAATCACTGTTGGTTGAAATGAGAACTATGCGATGCTCTGGCCATTTTCTTTCCTACGACTAAGGTTCAGGCGCCTCAAATCACAGACAGTAAAAAACTTCCCTTTTTTGGAACTCTTAAAACTTAAAAAAATGACACAGAAAGACAAGTGAACAAGACAAACAAACGGACAAAAACATGACAAGATTGGAAATGTGAAAGTTTCAAAAAAATAAATAAATATATGAAACCACATAATACGATTTTTGGAATTTTGGAACAAAACGATTTTCATTTCATTCAATTTGATGAAATGTTTCCCCAAGACAAAACAACTCCCATCCTCAAAAAGTCCAAAAATCAACCGAACAACCCCCCCCCCCCAAATAAAAACCCCTATTTCATCAAATTTGGATTTGAATTTTTTTCTAGATTTCAATAATGGATGAAAAAAAAAAGATTTCAAGTTCATGTATAGAAAATATTGTTGAAACGAAAACATAATTTAAACCATAAAAGTGAGCAAACAAAATAAATAAACTTGTCACTACTTCTAGAGATTAAATAATATTGAAACTTTCACACCTCCATTTTTTGTATTCCTGAGTTCTACACCTTGAAAAATCAAAAGTCCAGAGGTCAAGGGACAATTTGGAAAAACCACAAACAATAAAAGTAAAAACTTTCCTAACATGTTTCAAAGTTGGGTTAGATTTGATCAAAAAAGATGTTAAGAATGACGATCGAAACTTGATAGACTTTATCTAACTGTACTTAATTTTCAAATGATGGGACAACCTATAAAAAAAAGTGTTGATTCAAGATTAAAACAATGAAATGAACGATCAGAAAAAAACATTATCAAGCAAATGCTTTTCCTAACTCTTATCCTAAACGAACCTTATTAGATTCACCGAGCCTAAACCACCATCTTTGTCAAACCACACCCCAACCAACCTCCCCCACCAACCCGCTCCACAATGGACAAAACACCCAACACTCTACACCCACACTAACTAGTACTTGGTTTGATAAACCAAACCTTGTTTCCTCACCTAACTAGTATAAGAGCAAGGCTTTTGCTTTATTCTTTGAACTCCATCTTAGATCTTATCCTCCCCATATCAAACTCTTACTTGCTCTAACTAGTACTTGGTTTGATAAACCAAACCTTGTTTGCTGATCCAACTAGTGTGAGAGCAAGGCTTCTGTTTCATCCTCTGAACTCCATCTTAGATCTTATCCTCCCCATATCAAACTCTTACTTGCTCTAACTAGTACTTGGTTTGATAAACCAAACCTTGTTTGCTGATCCAACTAGTGTGAGAGCAAGGCTTCTGTTTCATCCTCTGAACTCCATCTTAAATCTTATCCTCCCCATATCAAACTCTTACTTGCTTTAAGTAGTACTTGATTTGATCAACCAAACCATGTTTGCTGATACAACTAGTGTAAGAGCAAGGACTTTACTTCAATCTTTGAACTCCATCTTAGATCTGATCCTCCCCAGATCAAACTCTTACTTGCTCTAACTAGTACTTGGTTTGGTTATCAAACCTTTTTTTCTGAACCAACTAGTGTAAGAGCAAGGCTTCTGTTTCATTGTCTGAACTCCATCTTAGATCTTATCCTCCCCAAATCATACTCTTACTTGCTCTAACTAGTATTTGGTTTGATAAACCAAACTTTCTTTTCTAATCCAACTAGTGTAAGAGCAAGGTTTTGCTTCATTCTCTGAACTCCATCTTAGATCTTATCCTCCCCATATCAAACTCTTACTTGCTCTAACTAGTACATGGTTTGATCAACCAAACCTTTTTTTCTGATCCAGCTGGTGTAAGAGCAAGGCTTTTTTTTCATTCTTTGAACTCCATCTTAGATCTAATCCTCCCCATATCAAACTCTTACTTGCTCTAACTAGTACTTGGTTTGGTTTATCAAGCCATTTTTTTCTGATCCAACTAGTGTAAGAGCAAGGCTTCTGCTTCATTCTCTGAACTCAATCTCAGATCTTGTCCTCCCCATATCAAACTCTTACTTGCTCTAACTAGTACTTGATTTGATCAACCAAACCATGTTTGCTGATCCAACTAGTGTAAGAGCAAGGATTTTACTTCAATCTTTGAAATCCATCTTAGATCTTATCCTCCCCATATCAAACTCTTACTTCCTCTAACTAGTACTTGGTTTGGTTTCTCAAACTTTTTTGTGATCCAACTAGTGTAAGAGCAAGACTTCTGCTCTATTTTTTGAACTCCATCTTAGATGTTATCCTTCCCATATACGCTCTTACTTGCTCGAACTAGTACTTAGTTTGATAAATCAAACCTTGTTTCATGATCCAACTAGTGTGAGAGCAAGGCTTCTGTTTTGTTTTCTGAACTCAATCTTAGATCTTGTCCTCCCCATATCGAACTCTTACTTGCTCTAACTAGTACTTGGTTTGATAAACCAAACCGTGTTTGCTGATCCAACTAGTGTAAGAGCAAGGCTTTTACTTTATTCTTTGAACTCCATCTTAGATCTTATCCTCCCCATATCAAACTCTTACTTCCTCTAACTAGTACTTGGTTTGGTTTCTCAAACTTTTTTGTGATCCAACTGGTGTAAGAGCAAGACTTCTGCTCTATTTTTTGAACTCCATCTTAGATGTTATCCTCCCCATATACGCTCTTACTTGCTCGAACTAGTACTAAGTTTGATAAATCAAACCTTGTTTCATGATCCAACTGGTGTAAGAGCAAGTTTTTTACTTTATTCTTTGAACTCAATCTTAGATCTGATCCTCCCCATATCAAACTCTTACTTGCTCTAACTAGTACTTGATTTGATCAACCAAACCATGTTTGCTGATCCAACTAGTGTAAGAGAAAGGCTTCTGCTTCATTCTTTGAACTCCATCTTAGATCTTATCCTCCCCATATCAAACTATTACTTGCTCTAACTAGTACTTGGTTTGGTTTATCAAACCTTGTTTCCTGATCCAACTAGTGTAAGAGCAAGGCTTCTACTTCATTCTCTGAACTCCATCTTAGATTTTATCCTCCCCATATTAAACTCTTACTTGCTCTAACTAGTACTTGGTTTGGTTTATCAAACCATTTTTCTGATCCAACTAGTGTAAGAGCAAGACTTCTGCACTATTTTTTGAACTCCATCTTAGATCTTATCCTCCCCATATCAAACTCTTACTTGCTCTAACTAGTACTTGGTTTGATAAACCAAACCTTGTTTGCTGATCCAACTAGTGTGAGAGCAAGGCTTCTGTTTCATCCTCTGAACTCCATCTTAAATCTTATCCTCCCCATATCAAACTCTTACTTGCTTTAACTAGTACTTGATTTGATCAACCAAACCATGTTTGCTGATACAACTAGTGTAAGAGCAAGGACTTTACTTCAATCTTTGAACTCCATCTTAGATCTGATCCTCCCCAGATCAAACTCTTACTTGCTCTAACTAGTACTTGGTTTGGTTATCAAACCTTTTTTTCTGAACCAACTAGTGTAAGAGCAAGGCTTCTGTTTCATTGTCTGAACTCCATCTTAGATCTTATCCTCCCCGAATCATACTCTTACTTGCTCTAACTAGTATTTGGTTTGATAAACCAAACTTTCTTTTCTAATCCAACTAGTGTAAGAGCAAGGTTTTGCTTCATTCTCTGAACTCCATCTTAGATCTTATCCTCCCCATATCAAACTCTTACTTGCTCTAACTAGTACATGGTTTGATCAACCAAACCTTTTTTTCTGATCCAGCTGGTGTAAGAGCAAGGCTTTTTTTTCATTCTTTGAACTCCATCTTAGATCTAATCCTCCCCATATCAAACTCTTACTTGCTCTAACTAGTACTTGGTTTGGTTTATCAAGCCATTTTTTTCTGATCCAACTAGTGTAAGAGCAAGGCTTCTGCTTCATTCTCTGAACTCAATCTCAGATCTTGTCCTCCCCATATCAAACTCTTACTTGCTCTAACTAGTACTTGATTTGATCAACCAAACCATGTTTGCTGATCCAACTAGTGTAAGAGCAAGGATTTTACTTCAATCTTTGAAATCCATCTTAGATCTTATCCTCCCCATATCAAACTCTTACTTCCTCTAACTAGTACTTGGTTTGGTTTCTCAAACTTTTTTGTGATCCAACTAGTGTAAGAGCAAGACTTCTGCTCTATTTCTTGAACTCCATCTTAGATGTTATCCTTCCCATATACGCTCTTACTTGCTCGAACTAGTACTTAGTTTGATAAATCAAACCTTGTTTCATGATCCAACTAGTGTGAGAGCAAGGCTTCTGTTTTGTTTTCTGAACTCAATCTTAGATCTTGTCCTCCCCATATCGAACTCTTACTTGCTCTAACTAGTACTTGGTTTGATAAACCAAACCGTGTTTGCTGATCCAACTAGTGTAAGAGCAAGGCTTTTACTTTATTCTTTGAACTCCATCTTAGATCTTATCCTCCCCATATCAAACTCTTACTTCCTCTAACTAGTACTTGGTTTGGTTTCTCAAACTTTTTTGTGATCCAACTAGTGTAAGAGCAAGACTTCTGCTCTATTTTTTGAACTCCATCTTAGATGTTATCCTCCCCATATACGCTCTTACTTGCTCGAACTAGTACTAAGTTTGATAAATCAAACCTTGTTTCATGATCCAACTGGTGTAAGAGCAAGTTTTTTACTTCATTCTTTGAACTCAATCTTAGATCTGATCCTCCCCATATCAAACTCTTACTTGCTCTAACTAGTACTTGATTTGATCAACCAAACCATGTTTGCTGATCCAACTAGTGTAAGAGCAAGGCTTCTGCTTCATTCTTTGAACTCCATCTTAGATCTTATCCTCCCCATATCAAACTATTACTTGCTCTAACTAGTACTTGGTTTGGTTTATCAAACCTTGTTTCCTGATCCAACTAGTGTAAGAGCAAGGCTTTTACTTCATTCTCTGAACTCCATCTTAGATCTTATCCTCCCCATATTAAACTCTTACTTGCTCTAACTAGTACTTGGTTTGGTTTATCAAACCATTTTTCTGATCCAACTAGTGTAAGAGCAAGACTTCTGCACTATTTTTTGAACTCCATCTTAGATCTTATCCTCCCCATATCAGCTCTTACATGCTCAAACTAGTACTTGATTTGATGAACCAAACCGGGTTTCCTGATCCAACTAGTGTAAGAGCAAGGCTTCTGTTTCATTGTTGAACTCCATCTTAGATCTTATCCTCCCCATATCAAACTCTTTCTTGCTCAAACTAGTAATTTGTTTGATAAACCAAACCTTGTTTCCTGATCCAACTAGTGTTAGAGCAAGGTTTTGCTTCATTCTATGAACTCAATCTTAGATCTTGTCCTCCCCATATCAAACTCGTACTTCCTCTAACTAGTACTTGGTTTGGTTCATCAAACCTTTTTTTCTGATCCAACTAGTGTAAGAGCAAGGCTTTTACTTTATTCTTTGAACTCCATCTTAGATCTTATCCTCCCCATGTCAAACTCTTACTTCCTCTACCCAGTACTTGGTTTGGTTCATCAAACCTTTTTTTCTGATCCAACTAGTGTAAGAGCAAGGCTTCTACTTCATTCTTTGAACTCCATCTTAGATCTTATCCTCCCCATGTCAAACTCTTACTTGCTCTAACTAGTACTTGGCTTGATAAACAAAACCATGTTTGCTGATCCAACTAGTGTAAGAGCAAGGCTTTTACTTCATTCTTTGAACTCCATCTTAGATCTTATCCTCCCCATATCAAACTATTACTTCCTTCAACTAGTACTTGGTTTGGTTTATCAAACTTTTTTGTGATCCAACTAGTGTAAGAACAAGACTTCTGCTCTATTTTTTGAACTCCATCTTAGATGTTATCCTTCCCATATACGCTCTTACTTGCTCGAACTAGTACTTAGTTTGATAAATCAAACCTTGTTTCATGAATCAACTAGTGTGAGAGCAAGGCTTCTGTTTTGTTTTCTGAACTCAATCTTAGATCTTGTCCTCCCCATATCGAACTCTTACTTGCTCTAAATAGTACTTGGTTTGATAACGCAAACCTTGTTTCCTGATCCAACTAGTGGAAGAGCAAGGTTTATCTTCATTCTATGAACTCTATCTTAGATCTTATTCTCCCCATATCAAACTCCTACTTCCTCTAACTAGTACTTGGTTTGGTTTATCAAACCTTTTTTTCTGATCCAACTAGTGTAAGAGCAAGGCTTCTGCTTCATTCTTTGAACTCCATCTATGGACTTATCCTCCCGATGTCAAACTCTTACTTGCTCTAACTAGTACATGTACTTGGTTTGATGAATCAAACCTTGTTTCACGATCCAACTAGTGTAAGAGCAAGATTTTTACTTCATGCTTTGAACTCCATCTTAGATCTTATCCTCCAAATATCAAACTCTTACTTACTCTTACTAGTACTTGGTTTGATAAACCAAACCATGTTTCGCGATCCAACTAGTGTAAGAGCAAGGCTTCTGTTTCATTCTCTGAACTCCATCTCCGATCTTATCTTCCCCATATCAAACTCTTACTTGCTCTAACTAGTATTTTGTTTGATAAACCAAACCATGTTTGCTGATACAACTAGTGTAAGAGCAAGGATTTTACTTCAATCTTTGAAATCCATCTTAGATCTTATCCTCCCCATATCAAACTCTTACTTCCTCTTACAAGTACTCTGCTTGATAAAACCAAACCATGTTTGCTGATACAACTAGTGAAAGAGCAGGGCTTCTGCTTCATTATCTGAACTCAATCTTAGATCTTATCCTCCCCACATCAATTTCGTACTTGCTCAAACTAGTATTTTGTTTCGTTGATCAAATCTTGTTTTCTGATCGAACTAGTGTGAGAGCAAGGTTTTGCTTCATTCTCTGAACTCCATCTTAGATCTTATCCTCCTCATATCAAACTCTAACTTGCTCTAACTAGTACTTGGTTTGATAAACCAAATTTTGTTTCTTGATACAACTAGTGTAAGAGCAAGGTTTTGCTTCCATCTGAACTCCATCTTAGATCTTATCTTCCTCATATCAAACTCTTACTTCCTCTAACTAGTACTTGGTTTGGTTTATCAAACCTTTTTTTCTGATCCAACTAGTGTAAATACAGTTTTGCTTCATTCTCTGAACTCCATCTTAGATCTTATCCTCCTCATATCAAACTCTTACTTAATCTAACTAGTACTTGGTTTGATAAACCAAACAATGTTTTCTGATCCAACTAGTGTAAGAGTAAGGTTTTGCTTCTATCTGAACTCCATCTTAGATCTTATCCTCCCCATGTCAAACTCTTACTTGCTCTAACTAATACTTGGTTTGATAAACCAAACCCTGTTTCTTGATCCAACTAATGTAAGTGCAAGGCTTTTACTTCATTCTTTGAACTCCATCTTAGATCTTATCCGCCCCATATCAAACTATTACTTCCTTCAACTAGTACTTGGTTTGGTTTATCAAACTTTTTTGTGATCCAACTAGTGTAAGAGCAAGACTTCTGCTCTATTTTTTTAACTCCATCTTAGATCTTATCCTCCCCATATACGCTCTTAATTGGAACTAGTACTTGGTTTAAAAAACCAAACCTTGTTTCACGATCCAACTAGTGTAAGAGCAAGATTTTTACTTCATTCTTTGAACTCCATCTTAGATCTTATCCTCCCCATATCAAACTCTTACTTGCTCTGACTAGTACTTAATTTGATAAACCAAACCATGTTTCCTGATCCAACCAGTGCTAGACCAAGGTTTTGCTTCATTCTATGAACTCATGCAATCTTCGATCTTATCCTCCCCATATCAAACTCGTACTTCCTCTAACTAGTACATGGTTTGGTTTATCAAACCTTTTTTCTGATCCAACTAGTGTAAGAGCAAGGCTTTTGCTTCATTCTATGAACTCCATCTATGATCTTATCCTCCCGATGTCAAACTCTTACTTGCTCTAACTAGTACTTGATTTGATAAACCAAACCATGTTTCGTGATCCAACTAGTGTAAGAGCAGGAATTTACTTCAATCTTTGAAATCCATCTTAGATCTTATCCTCCCCATATCAAACTCTTACTTGCTCTAACTAGTACTTGATTTGATTAACCAAAACCTTGTTTCTTGATCCAACTAGTGTAAATGCAAGGCTTTTACTTCATTCTTTGAAATCCATCTCAGATCTTATTCTCCCAATGTCAAACTCTCATTTGTTTCAACTAGCACTTGATTTGATAAACCAGACAATGTTTTGTGATCCAACTAGTGTAAGAGCAAGGCTTCTGTTTCATTTCTCTGAACTCCATCTTAGATCTTACCCTCCCCAAATCAAACTCTTACTTGCTCTAACTAGTACATGGTTTGATAAACCAAACTTTGTTTTCTGATCGTACAAGTGTGAGAACAAGGTTTTGCTTCATTCTCTGAACTCCATCTTAGATGTTATCCTCCCCATATCAAACTCTTACTTCCTCTAACTAGTACTTGGTTTGGTTTATCAAGCCATTTTTTCTGATCCAACTAGTGTAAGAGCAAGGCTTCTGCTTCATTCTCTGAACTCAATCTCAGATCGTATCCTCCCCACATCAATTTCTTACTTGCTCTAACTAGTATTTGGTTTGATAAACCAAACCGTGTTTGCTGATCCAACTAGTGTTAGAGCAAGGCTTTTACTTTATTCTTTGAACTCCATCTTAGATCTTATCCTCCCCATATCAAACTCTGACTTCCTCTAACTAGTACTTGGTTTGGTTTCTCAAACTTTTTTGTGATCCAACTAGTGTAACAGCAAGACTTCTGCTCTATTTTTTGAACTCCATCTTAGATGTTATCCTCCCCATATCAAACCCTTACTTGCTCTAACTAGTACTTAGTTTGATAAATCAAACCTTGTTTCATGATCCAACTAGTGTAACAGCAAGTTTTTTACTGCATTCTTTCAATTCCACCTTAGATCTGATCCTCCCCATATCAAACTCTTATTTGCTCTGACTAGTACTTGATTTGATAAACCAAACCATGTTTCGTGATCCAACTAGTGTAAGAGCAAGGAATTTACTTCAATCTTTGAAATCCATCTTATATCTTATCCTCCCCATATCAAACTCTTACTTCCTCTTACAAGTACTTGATTTGAAACCTTATCTATTGGTAGTATCTAGTAAACAGTATCCATCAACTACCATTATTACTCTTCAAAGAGAACGGAACAAAAGAAAACCATGAAGCTCTGAAAATTAAGTTCAAGAAGACTGAAAGTATGTTTCAGAGACAAAAAAGAAAAAAATACATCGCTGACTAGAAATGCTGACTGCCCATTGAATGTCATCTGATTATAACTGAATGCAAATTGTTGTAAAAGAAATAATGCCAAAAAATGAATGCCAAAAAAAACCCAGAAACGTTTATGACAGAATTACCAAACGTGCTAAATTATAGAAAACAAAAGAATATTTAAAAAAAACTGATATAAACCAAACATATCGAAAAAAAAAAACAGCCACCACAAACTAACTAAACATCCAACAAACCCCAAAACAATGGACCAAGACTCAAACGAAATCAACGAAATACTTGATAAAAATATAGAAGATTATGGAAGAAACAGACAACTCCAAAAGGTCCCATAGGTAAGCAATCAATACGATATGCAGTCCTATGCGATTGGGGAGCAGTTGTGAAAAAGAAAAAGAAGAAAACAAAATTGAAAACAGGGAATAGCGAGAATAATAAAACAAAAACCCAGAAAAAAAAGAGAGGAAGAGAAAGTCAGAATAGAAGGAGAAGTCAATCGTCAAAAAGATTAACATGAGATACCAGGAAAGTGCTGAAAAGAAAGGAAAGACAGCAAAATGAAAAAAGACGCAAATGATTTTCAACCAACAGACCCACCGACCAACAACCAACAAGGTAACCAAACAACCAGCAAAACGGCCATATAAACAGTAAAAAAAAGCAGAAACGTTATAAACAAAATGAGAGGAAAAAAAATTAAGACATAAAAAAACCCCCAAAAAACCCCAAAGAACAATGCATGATACTATGACTTTCCAGGATGAAAAAGAAAAGCAATTATGTGACAATCAACGGACAGTTTTGAAAAATGGAATAACAAGTAAAGTAATTCAAAACGGAACAATGCAAAAAGAAATAAAGAAAGTATCCAGACAAAAAAAATATGTGGTTCCAATTAACAAGCCGGAAACTGTTTACTGGATACTACCACTTTTGAGAACTTCACTCAAAATCCTACTTGCTCTTACTAGTACTTGGTTTGGTTTATCAAACCTTGTTTCCTGATCCAACTAATGTAAGAGCAAGGCTTCTGCTTCGCTCTTTGAACTCCATCCTAGGTCTTTTCCTCCCCATATCAAGCTCATACTTACTCTTACAAGTACTTGGTTTGGTTTATCAAACATTGTTTTATGATCTAACTTGTGTAAGAGCAAGGCTTCTACTTCGCTCTCTGACCTCCATCTTAGATCTTATCCTCCCCATGTCAAGCTCCTACTTACTCTTACAAGTACTTGGTTTGGTTTATCAAACATTGCTTTATGATCTAACTTGTGTAAGAGCAAGGCTTCTACTTCGCTCTCTGAACTCCATCTTAGATCTTATCCCACCCATATCAAGCACCTACTTACTCTTACAAGTACTTGGTTTGGTGTCTCAAACATTGTTTTATGATCTAACTTGTGGAAGAGCAAGGCTTCTACTTCTCTCTCTGCACTCCATCTTAGATCTTATCCTCCCCATATCAAGCTCCTACTAACTCTTACTAGTACTTGGTTTGGTGTATCAAACATTGTTTTATGATCTAACTTGTGTAAGAGCAAGGCTTCTACTACGCTCTCTGAACTTCATCTTAGATCTTATCCTCCCCATATCAAGCACCTACTTACTCTTACTAGTACTTGGTTTGGTGTATCAAACATTGTTTTATGATCTAACTTGTGTAAGAGCAAGGCTTCTACTTCTCTCTCTGCACTCCATCTTAGATGTTATCCCACCCATATCAAGCACCTACTTACTCTTACAAGTACTTGGTTTGGTGTCTCAAACATTGTTTTATGATCTAACTTGTGGAAGAGCAAGGCTTCTACTTCTCTCTCTGCACTCCATCTTAGATCTTATCCTCCCCATATCAAGCTCCTACTAACTCTTACTAGTACTTGGTTTGGTGTCTCAAACATTGTTTTATGATCTAACTTGTGGAAGAGCAAGGCTTCTACTTCTCTCTCTGCACTCCATCTTAGATCTTATCCTCCCCATATCAAGCTCCTACTAACTCTTACTAGTACTTGGTTTGGTGTATCAAACATTGTTTTATGATCTAACTTGTGGAAGAGCAAGGCTTCTACTTTGCTCTCTGAACTCCATCTTAGATCTTATCCTCCCCATATCATGCTCCTACTTACTCTTACAAGTACTTGGTTTGGTGTATCAAACATTGTTTTATGATCTAACTTGTGTAAGAGCAAGGCTTCTCCTTCGCTCTCTGAACTCCATCTTAGGTCTTATCCTCCCCATATCAAGCTCCTACTAACTCTTACAAGTACTTGGTTTGGTGTATCAAACATTGTTTTATGATCTAACTTGTGTAAGAGCAAGGCTTCTCCTTCGCTCTCTGAACTCCATCTTAGGTCTTATCCTCCCCATATCAAGCTCCTACTAACTCTTACAAGTACTTGGTTTGGTGTATCAAACATTGTTTTATGATCTAACTTGTGTAAGAGCAAGGCTTCTACTTCCCTCTCTGAACTCCATCTTAGGTCTTATCCTCCCCATATCAAGCTCCTACTAACTCTTACAAGTACTTGGTTTGGTGTATCAAACATTGTTTTATGATCTAACTTGTGTAAGAGCAAGGCTTCTCCTTCGCTCTCTGAACTCCATCTTAGGTCTTATCCTCCCCATATCAAGCTCCTACTAACTCTTACAAGTACTTGGTTTGGTGTATCAAACATTGTTTTATGATCTAACTTGTGTAAGAGCAAGGCTTCTCCTTCGCTCTCTGAACTCCATCTTAGGTCTTATCCTCCCCATATCAAGCTCCTACTAACTCTTACAAGTACTTGGTTTGGTGTATCAAACATTGTTTTATGATCTAACTTGTGTAAGAGCAAGGCTTCTACTTCACTCTCTGAACTCCATCTTAGATCTTATCCTCCCCATATCAAGCTCCTACTAACTCTTACTAGTAATTGGTTTGGTTTATCAAACATTGTTTTATGATCTAAGTTGTATAAGAGCAAGGCTTCTACTACGCTCTCTGAACTCCATCTTAGGTCTTATCCTCGCCATATCAAGCTCCTACTGACTCTTACAAGTACTTGGTTTGGTTTATCAAACATTGTTTTATGATCTAACTTGTGTAAGACCAAGGCTTCTCCTTCACTCTCTGAACTCCATCTTAGATCTTATCCTCCCCATATCGAACTCTTACTTGCTCTTAAAGTACTTGGTTTGGTTTATCAAACATTGTTTTATGATCTAACTTGTGTAAGACCAAGGCTTCTCCTTCACTCTCTGAACTCCATCTTAGATCTTATCCTCCCCATATCGAACTCTTACTTGCTCTTACAAGAACTTGGTTTGGTTTATCAAACATTGTTTTATGATCTAACTTGTGTAAATGCAAGGCTTCTTCTCTATTCTCTGAACTCCATCTTAGATCTTGTCCTCCCAATATCAAACTCTTACTTGCTCTAACTAGTACTTGGTTTGATAAACCAAACCTTGTTTTCCGGTCCAACTAGTGTGAGAGCAAGGTTTTGCTTCATTCCCTGAACTCCATCTTAGATCTTTTATCTTCCCCATATCAAACTCTTACTTTCTCTAACTAGTACTTGGTTTGTTAAACCAAACTTGTTTCCTGATCGGTCTAGTGATAGAGCAAGGCGTCTGTTTCATTCTCTGAACTCAATCTTAGATCTTAACCTCCCCATATCAAGCTCCTACTTACTCTTACTAGTACTTGGTTTGGTTTATCAAACCTTGTTTCATGATCCAACTAATGTAAGAGCAAGGCTTCTTCTTCGCTCTCTGAACTCCATCTTAGGTCTTATCCTCCCCACATCAAGCTCCTACTTACATTTACTAGTACTTGGTTTGGTTTATCAAACCTTGTTTCCTGATCGAACTAGTGTAAGAGCAAGGCTTCTGCTTCATTCTCTGAACTCTATCTTAGATCTTATCCTGTCCATATCAAACTCTTACTTGCTCTAACTAGTCATTGGTTTGGTTTATCAAACCTTGTTTTATGATCTTACTAGTGTAAAGCAAGTCTTCTACATCCCTCTCTGTACTCCATCTTCGATCTTATCCTCCCCTCATCAAGCTCCTACTTACTCTTACTAGTACTTGGTTTGATAAACCAAACCTAAAATGGAATTCTACTAGTGTGAAAGCAATTGTTCATCCTCATCCCCACAAACTCATCCTTTCCGAACTCAACCCTCGACAAACTCTACCTATCTTCATTCCACGCATTCAATATATGGATGTCCTCAAGATAAAAGAAAGCCAGTAATGAATACAAAAAAATCCTGACATTCAAATATGTCAGGAATTAAATATAAAAAGAAAACCTTTAAAGTATATCAAAATAGGGTGAATAAAAAAACAACTTAAAACTATCAGACCTCTGAACTTTCAACTTACCAAGATGGAACGTCGCTAGCAAAGTTCCAACACAAGATTTTGTGAGATCAAGTTTTACTAAATCGCAACAAGATCCAAGTTAGACAGAAGCCATACGGCTTACTGTAATAGATTGGTTGGGATTCAAGAAAAACCTTGTGCCGGAAAACCTTCCAAGTTCTTATCCAACACCAAAACAACGTCAGGAATATTTTTATTTTTCAATTTTAGTTTTGATTGGTTACACACATATGATATCTGGTTATGGGTCACATGATGCAATTGAATACCTTGAAATATAAAATACTTTGATACAAAATATTACAACTATACCTCTTCAAGTATCCCCCCCCCATTAATGCACTGGTACCTCCCCCAAAGTACCGAAGCACACTTGTACCTAAAGCAATAAATATCTTTGTATAAAAGTATTTTACATCGATAAAAAAAGTGTGCACCTCCCCCTCAGATCAGTTGGCTCACCCAAGTTGATTGTTTTGGCTTGTTCCACTCGGAGGAGGGGGAGGTACAATTGGAGGGAGGGGCAAAGAGAGATCTGTGGCTGATGGCAAAATTGAGTCTTGACCTGTTTCAGATGGAACCAAAAGATTGTTCAAACTCAGTCTGAGTTCGTGTTGGCATGTGACTAACTATGAACTTTGAATCTTTTTCTTTCAATAGCTATCATCAAACTGAGTATCAAACCAGGAAGACTATTCAAATGTTGTTATCTCTTAACCCCTCCCTCCGGAATGGCAAGACTAGCTTGATGATTGTTGGCTTACAGTTGTTCTGTCTGCTCGTAGAACAGAACGTATGCAAAGGAGCTCGGCACCGAGGCCTCTGTGATAGGTTCAACTCTGTCAAAGACATAAACCATAACGGAAAGGATTAGAATCCAACAGAAATTCTGCACTTTGGAAATTAGGGACAGACAGTACAGGGTGAGTAAAAAATATTAAACCCAAATGGCGGGACCAATTTTTGAATGAAGTTTTGCCTGTAGCACTTTCAAAATCTAGGATATGAAAGCCTAATCAATGAGCTTTCTTTAAGTACAAGAATCATTCAAATCGCTCATGTACTTTTCAAGTTATTTCAAGGAATTTGAACACAAACACCATTTTAAAGTTCTGTCCCACATCACATAATAATAATAATAATAATCCATTCTTGTAAAGCGCATTCCGTCAATAAGACCCCAATGCGCTGTACAGGCATAATAACATACAGGAGTACAATTAGAGTAAATCTTTGAAATTACAAATTATACACAAAAACACGGCACATGTAAACAAAAACCAACACAAATTTACGAGAATGATGGGCTGGAGAAATGTTCAAAGTCAAAGGATAAGCAGATGGGTTTTCAGTAGAGTCTTGAACAGTTCCAGTGTTTTGGCATTTCTGATATGAGTTGGAAGCCGGTTCCAGAGTTCAGGAGCTGTATATGAGAATGATCGCTGGCCGTATGTTCACAGTTCGTCGTTGTAGAATGGTAGTAAAGTTTGATCTTAGTGTGCGAGAAGGTTCCTTGATGCAGATAACAGTAAGTGTTCTTTTAGCAAAAACAAAACAAAAAATTCATAGGGATATAGGTGATTTTATTTTTTTTTGGATCCGTGGATAGAACATTTTTAAACGGTGTTTGTGTATAAAATTCCTTAACTTGAAAAGTGCATGAGTGATTTGAATGATTCTTGTACTTAAAAATTTGTTTTGGAAAAGTAGATTTTCAGCCAAAAATTCAATTTATAGGCTCCATGCACAAGTACCCCCTCAACGATAAAAATGGGAGAGTTGGGGGCGACAACTCGGAGACATTGAACAAATTGCTGACAACGCCTGACGCTCATGGGAAGACACTATGGATCTGTGCACATGTTCAGAATAAAATCAGTCAAGCGTACTTCGCGCTAAACATGAGCTAGCCAGTACGCGCATGTGTCATGTCCCGTTCAAATGGCTCGCAAGTGGTAGAAAAGCGCCCTCTCTTGTTCGTGCACGGAACCCCTGCAGCTACTGACTGGAACTCTGCTTATTGTTACTAGCTTTTTCTGCTTAGCTGACTGCTTACCTTGCATCATCATAGCAATTCCACTTGTTAGTCAGTGTATGCTTGGCGTAAGCCACGTAATGACCACCGATCATGGACCCAGAATGTTGAGAGACTCCGTTCAGGTTATAGCGCCCTCCTTGTTGTTCGTCGTCGTCGGAAGCACCTGACAACAAACAAACAAACAAATGATGCGTAACACTCAAACAAACAGTGTCACAAATCATTCAAATGTTTTGCGACACTCATGTGTGAATTGCTAACATACATGTACATGTAGGTACAGAATTTATCCTTTATCAGTCGAAAGAAATCATGTGCAAATAAAACATTTTTCTGCAATAATTCTTGTATTACTTTATAAATACCTCTGATTCAAAGTTTGTTTCATACAGATTAGTACATATTAATTCAACACATTAATGGAATCATAATATTTATTATTCCTCCAAACTTTGTCTTATTTTCAAACAACAAATATACGATTGTGACCCAATCCAACAAAATGAGTCATAACTCGCTAAATCTAATTTTGAGTAATTGACACTTTGTCAGACTGAGTATTGTACCAAAATAAAAAGCACATGCATTTCCTGCTGAATAAAACAAAAGCTACTATCAGTAAAACATTGCACTTAAGACTCATTTTGTGGGATTCGGTCACAATTGCATGGCATGTATACATGGAGGCGATTATGCATTTTAAAGTACAATGCACTTTGCAAATGTAAACAAGATACAAACCAAAACCAAAATTGGTGTCCGATTTCCTTCAGTTTGGAAGCTTAAACATTCGAACAAACCATAAGAACCTTCCTGAACCCTCCAAAATCCACCAGTACAGTGTGCAGGAAACCAATGACAGGCTCATTACACCTACTAAGTTTCAAGAAGTATCAAATCATAGGTTGAACATTCTTCAATCCTACAAAATCCCACAAATTCCAAAAAAAAAAAAAAATCCTACAAAGTCCCACAAAATCTTACAAAATCCTACAAAATGGTGGATTTTGAAGGATGTCGGAGGGTTAGTGTGATGGAAATGATTGAAATGCACTAACTGTCCTCAAGCGACAGCATGTAGGCCACGTCCATCACAGGCGGTGCATGGCATTGCTCCCAGATCGCATAGAACAGTTCGTAATTTGGATTTCCAATATGGTTGATGGATGTGGTCAGATCGAAATCACCAATGGGTGCTGGGTTAAAACATGCAAAGCATAGACAGAATGGTGCAATAACACAGACACATAGAACAGAAAAAGGATCATGAAAATTAATGGGTGAAAAACATTGAGCTAAATTACTGAGCGCTATAACTCCTCATTCTTGTGCATGGACATGATGGAGAGACCCTTTGAAGCCGGCCTGCATGCAGACATTTTTTGAATTCATGTGCATGTTTGCAGAACGCATAGCAAACAACTTAAAGAGGTTGTGGAATGCTCGAAGACATTTCCATCATTCTCCGGGTATATGTAGCCTAAGGTGTGATGAAATAAAAACGACTATTGTTTCTGTCATAAAATGAGTACAAAAGGTACTTTTGAGAGCTGTTTTTCAAGTCCTGTCATGCCTGTTTCGACCCGAACGTGCAATTTGTGTAAAAGTCGTCGTTGCGGGCAGCAAACAAAACACAGTAAATCGTGACGTAATAAACAGGACTCCCGATGCAGAGTAGCATAAACGAGTCCTGTTTATTACGTCACGATTTACTGTGTTTTGTTTGCTGCCCCCAACGACAACTTTTACACAAATTGCACGTTCGGGTCGAAACAGAACCTGAAAAATAGCTCTCAAAAGTACCCTTTTTACTCATTTTCATGACAGAAACAATAGTCGTTTTTATTTCATCACACCTTAGGCTACATATACCCAAAAATTGACAGAAATTTTTTCGAGCATTCCACAACCTCTTTAAATGTGTCATGACAGTTTAACAAAAACGTCACAGTTAATGAGCATGCTTTGCGCTGTTTACGTAGAGCAAAATCACACGCTCATTTGCTGTTCGTGCGTTTCAGTTTGGGCATATAGACTTCAGTAACGCACCTGTAAGTGCAAAGACGTACAAAATACGTACACAATTTTGAGTTTTCTATAGGTTTGTGCACTAACATGGATGCACCCAGCAGGCATCATTTTGTACATGGGTCAGTGCTCTAGTAATTTAGCTTTATGGTTAAAAGCAACATGAAGATTTGGTGTTTTCAAAATCACGGTTTTGCCTTCAAGGCTGGCTTCAGATATTTAGATCCTTATTAAACTGCCAATGTTTGTCTCAAGAACTTCTAATGAGGCCTAAGTTTGAGTATTCCCATTTTATTAGGATATTAGTCTTTGAATTTCTGAAGCCAGTGATGAGAGTAAACTGGAATGAAGCCATGATTTTGAAACAGATAGGAAACATGGATGAAATGCTAAGATTTGAAGGTTTGCATTGTCAAGCTAGCAAGCAATAAGACAAATTTAGGGTAGCACCGTGTATCACCACGTCTCCTAATGACAGGCAACACTGTCCGAAAAGTTGAATTTCCCTCGGTTCTTTTAAAACCTCACAAACTCACAAAGAGAAACTAGTGACACAAAAACATGTCCTACTTTTGATCCTAAATAACCCTGTTGTTTACCAATGGAACTAATCCAAACTTTTAGACCATGTAAACAAGGCATGACATATTTTATGGAGGACTTTCATCAGCTTTGTGCAAGAGGGTGAGATTTGAATGCCATATAAAAAAACTTTCAGAATCTACCACTTTCGATTTGGCGTCCTCCAATCTCGATACAACGCTGGTGGAAGATGCGTGCTGCCACCGAAAGTTTATGAAGGAATGCAGGATCACCCCTGATGTCATTGCACACCTCCTCGATCGTTTGGCGCAACACACGACCGAGGTGTGCAATGACATCAGGGGTGATGCTGCATTCCTTCAAAAGTTTTCGGTAGCAGCACGCCCCTTCCGCTACCGTCTCCAGTGCTGTATCAACTTTTTGAAAGTGAGTGCTTATTTCGTACCGCGTTTAAATCTCACCCTCTTAGACAAAGCTTATAATACTCACTCCATCAAATGTTGTCATGCCTTGTTTACCTGATCTGAAATGTTGGTTGAATTCAAGTGTTATACAACAGAGTTATTTAGTATCAAATGTTTTTTGGACACGTAGTACGTGGCGCTACCTTAAACTTTATCTTAGATGAAGTAATGTTAGCAATAGGCGTTGAAGAGATCTGGGCCAATTTAAATCTGAAACATTAAATGGCATGAACAGAACATGTGATAATGTAAGAAAAGAAAATGTTAAAAACATAAATAATGCAGCAGCAACATGAAAAGCATCATTGCAATGTGACTTATGAAGACAATTTTTTGGGACAGTGCAAAGAAATGGGTAAAAATTCATATGACAGCTAAGCGCAGAAAAAGAAAATTCAGTCTTAACTAGAAAGATTGGCACCAAAGTTTTCATGAAACAAATAGTTCTTGTGCACGTTTCGTAGCCGATATTTGCTTACATAACATTTTGTGGGGATAATTTTATGCATTTTTGTAATGAAATAAGCTCCATTTTATGAACACTACCAAAACATGCAAACTACATGGGGTGAAGTCACAAACACTACAGCATGCAAATGTTACATGAAACTTAAAACAGATGTGCACATGAAGGAAAAGATTAAGCCACTTTAGCACTTACCTGCATTATCGGCCAGATATTGGGACATATCCAAGCCCTCCAACGGAAAGTCAACGAAAGTTGTGAGCTTAGCACGAAGACAGCTGAAACGCTTAAGGTCTGCGAAGAATATTAAGCAGTCAAGGAATATCGGGAAGTACTTTGGAAAATGAAGGTTTGTGACTCATAATCAGAGGGTCAGGAGTTCGAATCCAGCTGCTGGACACATGTTGTGTCCTTGGGCAAGCCACTTCACCACACTTCCCTCTCTCCACCAAGGAGTAAGAATGGGTACCGGCATTAGCTGGGGAGTAACCTGCGATGGACTAACATCCCATCTAGGGGGAATAGAAATATTCTCAGTTGTTTCATGCCAAGGAAATGAGAGATAAACACTGGCTTGATGAGGCAAATGTATGTACGCCTTGAAGAGAGGGCAAACATGAGTTTATGAAAATATTGTCAAGGATACGAAGCACAAGATGTTTCGGGAAGCGCTGGATAGAAAACCTCTTGGTGAACACTCGCTTCTTCTTGCATTTCTCGCAGGTCTGTTAGAAGGAAATAGAAATAAAGATGCAACAAATTAATTCTCAAAATTGCACACACTATACTGTGGAACGCTGCTAAAACGAACGTCGTGGGATCAACATAAATTGTTCGTAACAGCAATCGTTCAATCTAGCGATTTTAAGCTGCCGGTGCTCTGGGACTCACTTTTCAATATCGCTAGCGCCCTTCAGAACTTTTCCATGCATGCCCTGGTAGTTACTGAAAGACTACTTTGAGCAAGTGCCGACTATTGAATTAAGCAACAGTTTTTACACAGTTTATTAGTTTACCACCTAAGTTTACTGTCTTTCCCCTTTTATTCCTTGGGGAAGAAATAGCCACTTGTCGCTCTTCTGTTGAAATTTTTCAACAACAAAGTTCAATACGTTTTGTACACAAAGATTGGGAGCCAAGCATAATGTTTGGTATTGATCTACATGTACATGTATACCTTTTTAAGCAGGCTTTTTCAATGAAAATATAGATAATGGTTTTTAATGACTAATTTTTCCTCACTGGGCTTATAATGTACTTTTGTGTATTGATCAACACGTTTACTTTTTTAATATATACTTTTAAATTACTTTATCTTTTTAATGAGTACAGCGCCTGGGAGCATATGTGATGCGATCAAGCTACATGAGTCGTTTGTCGACCCTGGTCAAATTTTTTTATTGCAGATTTCAAAAGAGTACAACCCCAGCATACCGCTGTGAAAACCACATGCTGATACCATCTTTAGTTCTTAATGAAGTGAAAACACCAAGAGATGTGATGAAGTGATGTGATGAAGTGGCCCTATTTTGGCCTGTATCTCCAAATGAAAATTCCCGACAAACGACTCATTTAGCTTGATTATAATTGTTACTATTATTGTACCCGATTGTTTGGTATAGCGGTGTTTGGTACAGCAATGTTCTACTGTACATTTTTAGTGCTTCATTGCAGAAAGCTGTGAACCAACTTTACTAGACTTTTTTTTACCACACTTTAAAGGGAATATACATCATTTGCTTTTGCTGTAATTTTCAGAAATGGATGGAATTGGGGAGTCGGAAATATATAGCAAATATAGTTACACTGACTCTTTTGAGGTTTTGGGTTCGAAAATGCTAAAAAAACCAAGAAAAACAATCATTTTCCTGTAGTCTGGTTCCCTGACTTCATATAAGAAGAAACAGAGCAGTTTACATACATTGGGGAATTGTAAGGTCAGGGAACCAGTCTAGCTGGCTTGTACCCGTTCATAGGTGTGTAATCGATTGCAAACAAGTGCGATGGTCTATTGGGGCCAGTATTTGAAATAAAGCCAGTTTTTTCCAACGCTGGTCGGCCGACCAGCATTGGAAATTGATACAAAATACCACTTTTCTTGAAAATGACAGTATACCAGGTGCAATAATTTTACAGGATGCTTTACACTGTCATTCACTAACAGTCCAGCAAGGTATTTCAAAATGATTTGGTAGTTTTATTTTTTGATGTTTGCAAATGTTGTATTTTCCCTTTAAGGATACGTGAATAAAATCCGATTTGTTGAACTTACCACCATGTTGTCCCCGTCTAGTACCTCGGCTTCTGTGAACTTATTCAGGCAATCCTTGATGTCAAATGTGTGCTTGGTTGGCTGATCTTCACGCTGCCAGCTGTTACGGCGTTGGAATTTCACTCGCTAAAATCAAATTATCAATATCTTGCACAGACTCTTCTAAATTCCACCATTGTTTAAGAAACCTCTAACAAATGTTTGTACTTGGAGCACCTGAGGATGAGCTGTAACTTCCTCAATCCCACAAAATCCTTCCAAAAAATTATACCTCTCCGGTGTCCAAAAACCACAACTGGTATATTAATCTCCAAACTACTACAAAAGTTTTGAATCATTTGTGAATAAGATAAATAGTAAGTAACTTGAGGAGAATGCGAAATTAAACAGGCAGAAACTTGAGGTGAAACTTGAGGTTTTTCTTTAGGTTTTGCGAGGTTCCATGGGGTTTTGCGAGGTTCCATGGGGTTTTGCGAGGTTCCATGGGGTTTTGCGAGGTTCCATGGGGTTTTGCGAGGTTCCATGGGGTTTTGCGAGGTTCCATGGGGTTTTGCGAGGTTCAAAGAGATTTTACGAGGTTCAATGAAGTTTTACCAGGTTCACTGAGGTTTCTCAAGGTTTAATGAGATTTTACAAGTTTCATTGAGGTTTATTCATTTCTTGCATTTCTTTACCCAGGGTGTGCCTGAACAGTTTTAAAACTGATTTCCATTGGGGCCCTGCATACATTACAAATGACTACACACATGTACAAATACAATACATTACAAATACAATACAACGCAATGAAATAAAATAAAAGCATACGGGATTACTGCATGACTACAAATGCCTATACACACATTACAAATACAATACAACGAAACAAAACAAAATAAAAAGCAGCTAGTATAAATATTGTACTTCTACTACAAAGAGGTTCAATGAGGTACAAGGTTCAATGAGGTACAATGTTCAGTGAGGTTTTACAATGTTCAGTGAGGTTTTTCAAGATTCAAAGAGCTTTTATGAGATTCAATAAGGTTTTAACAAGGTCCAATGAGATTTATGAGGGTCAATAACGTTTTACTAGGTTCGGTGAGGTATAACAAGGTTTAAAGAGGTTTAACGAGGTTCAATGAGGTTTTTCAAGATTCAGTGAGCTTTTATGAGATTCAATAAGGTTTTAACAAGGTCCAATGAGATTTATGAGGGTCAATGATGTTTTACTAGGTTCGGTGAGGTATAACAAGGTTTAAAAAGGTTTAACGAGGTTCAATGAGGTTTTCAAGATTCAATGAGCTTTTATGAGATTCAATAAGGTTTTAACAAGGTCCAATGAGATTTATGAGGGTCAATGATGTTTTACTAGGTTCGGTGAGGTATAACAAGGTTTAAAGAGGTTTAACGAGGTTCAATGAGGTTTTCAAGATTCAATGAGCTTTTATGAGATTCAATAAGGTTTTAACAAGGTCCAATGAGATTTATGAGGGTCAATGATGTTTGTTCGGTGAGGTATAACAAGGTTTAAAGAGGTTTAACGAGGTTCAATGAGGTTTTTCAAGATTCAATGAGCTTTTATGAGATTCAACAAGGTTTTATTAAGTTCAGTGAGGCTTTACAAGGTTCAAGAGGTTTCACGAGTTTTAATGAGGTTTCGCAAGGTTTAACATGAGGTTTAATGAGGTTCAATATGATTTTACAGGGTACCTCAGGATTTTACCTGAGTAATAGCTTTAGTTTGCATTTTTGCCTTACCTCAGGCACTGGAACAGAGATGTCCCAAAAGATGTCAAACGTGACGGAGCGGTTCTTACAAGTCTGGCATTCCAAGGTGCTCTTGAGTTGTCCAACAAAGAGACGAGAGAAGATGGAGTTGTTGCGAGCGCAGTAGCGATCCCAGGCTAGCTTGGCTTTAGCTTCCTCACTAACAAACAATGAAAGGAAAAGAAATATAAAAATGCTGCGGAAAACTTCTGTCCCGAATTATGCCCCCAATGGACTATGAGTGACCTCTAGGGAGTCCTATGACCTTCGTGCGCGAACATAGAGGGCGCTTTTTGACCATTTTTGTGAGCCCCGTGTATGGGACACACGGTATGCGGATACTGATTCATGGGCGCATAGCCGTTTTCTTCAGTCAGTAATGGTAATAAAATAAGGAAGATAATGGATTGGGTTTATCATGTTAAAAGCCCCTCTATTCACTGGTGTTTATTCTATGTTCATACTTTAAATGTTCTCATTTGAAGTTACTCAGATTCACATTCATTCAAATATTGTCATTTCCATCGGAAAAGGTGTGACGGATATGATTTTTGCATTTTTTCCTATGCTACGACACTGAATATGTAATGTTTATTAAAGGGATTAAAATTCCACTAAAGATTGTGCCGTGTGCTAATTACAGTTGTTGTGCAACATAATGATCACATCCCATGAAAGAAATGTGACATTTGAATTTTTTTTTTCACTATTTTCAAAAGGCCTAAAGTAGACACTTACTGAAGAATGACCCTTAAATGTAGGGTAGATCATTTGTCCATTTATTCGTTTGAAGCAACAATAGAGCTCAAAATCCAAACACGGGTGATTATCAACTACATGTATTAAACCTGATGAAATTTCAGCTCAGGGCGACGAAGACATGATGAAAATGCGGTAACTAGTCTGTGCACAGCTATGCGATCGATAGCGCTGTGCATTGCAGACACGTGCACTGTCAACTGGTCGGATCTGACATCGTAAAAATGCCAAGAAAACACCGATGGAGAAAGAACATTTTTGTAAGTTAATTCACAGAAATGATCTAGGTTTTCTGTGTATGTATTTTCCGTGTTCAAGAGTTCATTTTGAGTTCGCTCTACTCGTATTTGGAGTGATACAATGCAGCGTGCTTCCTGAAATTTTCGACCGTAAAAACGAGGTCTGTTAGCCGCGGGCCACACATGCACAGTGCATCACACACTTCGGAGTTTTGGCCAGCTTCCTGTCTTGACTAGCGTTGTGCATATGATGCGAACGACCTAAATTTTCCATTATTTTTAAGAATTATCGAACGTAAATATATTGACAATAATAAAGGTAGGTTTTATTCACTTTTTGTGGCCATTTTTTTGCATAGCTTTTGTAGTGCAATGGAAATAGTTCAGGCTAAAACCTCGCATATAATTGAATACCCCATTGAATCTGCATTAAAAAAAATGGCCAAAAAATTCTGACCGACTGACCCTATTTTTGAAAGGCATGTAATCGGAAGCAGAACTATTTTTTTTTTGGCCTTAATATCTATAAGCCAAGTAAGGTTTTCAGCAATAATTTGGTCATTTACTTTTTGGATAGCTGCAAATGATCTACTCTTTAATAGAGGTGATTTAATTTCACATCCCAAACAAAAAAATTAACTAGTCTCAGTCATCAAAATCTTAGATTCGACATCTGCGTCATCAAAAATTTGAATACCTTCATCTCGAAGTTGAACTATCAGCACAATCTTCACTTGTTATATTTTTTTCCATTTAGTCAGTAAAAAATTAAAACAAAACACACAATTCCTGTGAGATGATTTTCAACTTACGAGATGTCATCAGGGATTTCTGGATCTTTGCCTCTGTGCTTGGCAGCGATGTTAATCTCCTCATGGAGTTCACCCAAGAGATAGCATAGAAACTCCTGAGCATCTTGCTGCCTGTATGCAAAGAAATTTCAATTGAAATTTTTTTTATTTCTAAGTTGGCTTTTATAAGTCGCCATTTTGCTCAAGTCGCCGTGTTACTCTCGGTCTCCTTTCCATAAAAAGCATTACAAAATCCTTGGTGTAAGTCGGCATTCAACAAATCACGCATTGGCATCGACTTCCTGTACTGCGGTTGGCAAAGTGTCGAGTGAAAAATGTTTTTTCACGGCCCGTGATCGCTGCATGCATTGGTGTCGAAAATTAGTGTCCTACTGCATACATCGCATATGCATCGTGAGCATATCAATACCAGTACCCCTTCTAGGCTGTAGGCATGCACTCTGTCCATTTTGGGCATCGGCGCATCAATACAGCAAGATACAAGTACAGTGTGCTTCTTTACGGTGTAAACTGCAGCTTTCGCAAGCGTCATACATGTGAAATATATTTTGTTTTCACATGTTGCCTGGTTTTCAGTTTGAAAACCCTCCACAAATGACTTCAAAATATTGCTTTTTCATTGTCTGAGAAGTTACTAATTTGTAAAGTTGGTTTCTGGTACCCGATTCAATAATCTAGATCTGGTTCCTGACATCAACAATCGGGCACTGGGTTCTGATACACAGTCCGATTCAAAACCAAAAGGGGAATATAGTGCTTGTGTTCTTGGGCAACACACTTTACTTCAATTGCCCCTCTCCATCCAGATCAGAAAAAAAAAAAAATTCATTTCCGGTCATGCAAATGAGCATTTGTGGAGTGTCATAAGGAAAAACCAGACTACGTGGAACGTTGTGCTCCAATGTTAACAAAGTGCAATTCATGTCTAATGATGCGTAGATGGGGAGCATGCAGTTATGTTCTTGGGCAAGACACTTTACTACATTTGCCTCTCTCCAGCCAGATGCAAGAAAAAAAAAAATCATTATTTTCTTGTAAATTGTCACGCACATAAGGATTCTCATAAGGACGCACATAAGGAGCACCATGAACACAAAGATTTGTAGAAATCTGTTGTCCAATAATGACTAAGTCCAATTTATGCGCAATGGTACATAGCTTTGAACCCAAATGAGAACACTGTGTTTGTGTTCTTGGGCAAGACACTTTACTATAATTGCCTCTCTCCACCCAGGAATATAAATGGAAACCCATTAGGGTAGAAACAAGATTACTTCAGACTTCATCTTTGCAGCTGAATTGAACTGAAAATTTCACAACAATTTTACTAACCCTTATACCTACTGTCTTTTACTAAGTACTAGACCAAGTCCACCAAAATCCATCCATCACACTGCTTCCAATGCATGCTTTGCTTTAGGCTTCCAGGCCCAAGCCCATCATACTCCATCAATATTTAGCCAAACCAGGCCTGCAGGACCAAGTCCCTAAAATCCACCAAAATTGGGGATGGATTTTGATGGAGTTGGGAGGTTAGGGTTAAGTACGTACTTCCCAGGACCAAAGTGTCTAGCGACCTTCTGGAAGACATTCTGCAGATGAGTCGGTGCGACTACGTTCTTCTTCTTGGGAAACCATATTTCTTTCACGACTTCGGCAAAACCTAAGAACAAAATATAAAAATATAAAAATGGTTGAAAAGATTATGCAATACTGCAGAATGGGTTTCCGTTAAACAAAACAATGCAATCCTAGTAAAGCTGGCCCCAGAGTGCACAAAATTCTATTCAATTCGGGCGATTCACAATGCAGTGCGCCACCAAGAGTTTGCCATGGAGAGTCCTTTTTCAAGTTTACGGTTGACAAAACATGGCCCATTTGATCGTGTGTCAATAGAGAACTTGAGCTAATTTGTTATAAATTGGGGCATAGCATTCTGTGTGCTATGACTATGTGTGTACATCGTACGGTACGTACGGTGTGAAACGCTTGTATCGTTGGTATCCAAAGAATCCAAGACAGAGGTATAACAATGCGCCCCTTGGGCGTTCAAAATGTCATATCCCACATCACAGCAGTCAACAATTGTGAAATGTACCGCGCTGCAAATTTGTCGACCATCTCCCACAATGCACTGGGAAAAATGAACTCTGTGTGGCAAACTCTTGGTGGCGCACTGCATTGTGAATCGCCCGAATGGATTCAGAATGGCTAATCACTGGAAGTCTTTTCATCTGGTCTAAACAATGGGTAGATTCAGCCCATTCATTGGCCTCATAGGGTAATCCTATACAACAGCACTGCCCGGCTTATAAGAGACAGTCAGTCAGTCAATGAGATAGGTACAAAAAGGACACTATGATGGCCTCAGAGACCTGGGGATGATTTCAAGAAATTTGTCTTATTTTTGTGACTCATCATATGACTTAAGATGAGTCCCTCGCTCTAACATGTCTAAGATCGATCTTAGATAAGACACGTCCTAAGACCAATTTCACTAAACCCATCTTAAGCAAGACGCATCAAAACTACCAATTTGATGGTTTTTTAACGTTTGTTTTTACCGCTTGATGAAACAGTCATTGAAAATAAATGAGCAAAACCAACTTCCCACGCGCGTGCATAGAACACAATCTTTCAACAGAAAAAAAATCCTGTACTAAATAAATTTCACACGCAGGTTAGTTCTACACAAGATGTGATAGAGTCATTCTTGCTCCCATTTACATCGCTTTATTTCAGAAAGTCATCTAAGTATTGGCGTATAATTACATTTTGTAAATAAGTTATTTTTATTAAAACTACCCACATATCACAAATCTTTTCAGATCAGTTTCTACAGCGGTTTTCTTCCTCGAAACTATAACTCTAGGCCGACACTCGTCTTAGAGGCAATGATTTCCAGACGATATACAAATTAACACATTCATTAATGAGATAAGGTGACCCTCAGACCATCTTAAGTTTAAGTTCAGCCTAGGAAGTAAGGACGTGTTGAGCGCATCTTAAGTTTGTTAAAATCGATCCTAGGATGAGTCAAGAGTTAAGACGAGTAACCCTTTCTAAGACGTGTCTTAGCGAGCATGAGTTTGTTTCCTGTCTTTAGTGTTTCGTTAAATCCCCCTCTGAACAAAGAGATGAGTCTTACTTTTGACGAGTGAACCCTGCCGAGGTGATCGTTTGTTGATGTCTTTAAGATGCAAACCTTCCAAGAAATACTCTCGCAAATCCTTGTTCTGAGCCAAACACTGCAAGATGGAATTCATGTAACACTGCAAAGGAAAAGCCAGATACAAAAAGAGAATTTGAGAGACATAAATTATACTGTGATAATACATTTTAAAGCTGTGTTGTCTCTGAGTGATTCCTGTTTGCTATTTTCCAGGTTTGCAGCATTGCTAATGTTGCTGGCATCGTGACTGTGGGTGTGATCCCTGGCTACATGGCACACAGGTTTATTGGCTTCTCACTAGTGCCCCTTGAACAATGATTTGACATGAGGAACAATTATAGAGCTAAAGTACTAGAGCGCTGACTCGATGTATAAAGTGATGCCTGTGGGCGCATCTTATGGAAAACTCGAAATTGTGTACGGCTTTTGTACGGCTATTTGCATATCTGCATTTTGTATTCCATACCGGTGCGTTATCGAAACCGATACACCCAAAACCGAAATGCACAATCAGCAAATGAGCGTGTCATTCTGCTCAACCAATAGCGCAATGCATGCATGTCTCCGCTGCAGATGCTTTTTGCCGTGACGTTTTTTAACCGTCATGACGTGCTCAGGTTGTTTGCGAATGTTCTACTTGCGCGTTGCTTAGAGTACACTTACAAAATACACTCCATCATATTTCGTTGTGTTCTACAAACATGCACATGAATTCAAAATGTCTGCGCCCAGAATAGCTTCTGAATAATACAGTGATTGGAAACTGCAGGTTAAAAATTGTTCAATTTTATAATTATTTTACGTTACACTGCATCAGTTTTCCTTTGAAGTCCGTTCAATTTTTAATAAATATTACATTTAATTTTTCAAAAGAGAATTACTTACAGTGTTTCCCAGGTTGGACATGCCTATCATTCCTCCTGGTCTAGGTTTCCCCTCCAACACATTCCCTGTTCTTCCCTAAAATGAAAATGGAATAATCCTTTGAAAAAAGTTGTATGAAAACAAAATGTTAAGCGAATAAATGGTGTGATTTGGAGGTGTTAAACACTCTGTTTCAGACTGGTTGGAATCAGAATGCTGATAATTACCCTCACCTTTGGCTTTGTCCCATTCGTACATACCTTTTCGGTCAAAAAATCAAAACTTTTTGGTCCACAAGTCCAAGGAAGTCAAACATTTAAATGTTTAACAATTTTGATCAACAAAACACACCTCTAGCTATACAATTTTAAGGCCTTCAGGTAAACAACTCCTTATATGGAGATTGGCGTGTGCGTCCTGCGTACTGCCTGATGAGGACTATGAAAAATTGACTCACTGGTAGTATTGCGCATGCCTCGGTGCTGACACCGGATTTCATAGATGTCAAATTTCATGTGACACTGGAAAAGACTTTAAGACCAGCCAGCAATATCTTTATCAACCATTTAAGACTGGCCACTTGACGGGCTCTCGACCAATAGGAATGGGTAAAAAGACTTAAATATTTATGAATAAATATTAATACTGTGAAAGGGGCCAATAGAAGTAGTTGGGCATACTTTGCCCTATGAACAGGCAAACCGGTATGCGCATGCCTCCTGTTCTACCTGAAGTTCTCGTAAACGGTCATCTTATGTTCGTGTACGGAGTCTGAAATGGTCACATTTAATCAATTGTGAACAAGGATGTAGTCGAGTCCATCACAAGTCCATCGCAAGTCATCACAAGTCCATCACAAGTCATCACAAGTCCATCACAAGTCCTCTAGTCCCAATTCAACTCACAAGCTAGGCAAATGACTGTAACAAAGTCATTCCTTTGTTATCACTCATCCTTCCTTCCTTACAAGTGCTGCCTTAATATAGTTGAAGACAAACGCACTGCCAGAAACACCTGGGCTAACCCCCTTCTCTTTGGATAAGTGTTACTGGGTTCGTTTATGTGCATTACACACGGGACCTACGGCTTTACGTCCATCTGAAAAACGAAGCAAGAATGGTTAAGTGTCTGGCTTCAGGACACAAGTGTCGAGACCAGGATTCGAACTCACACTCAGCTGATCTGAAACACCAGCAGAGCTTAAGTCCGGTGCTCTTAACCGCTTGGTCTTGACACTCCACTTGTTACTTGTGCCTGGACTTGCGATTTGCTTGTGACAGGATCTGTGATAGACTCAATATCTTGGATTGTGAAAGCAACTTACGGTGCCAAGAACAGAATGTTGGGCAGAGCTGAAAGCTGGTTGAGGTGCTTCTTTCTCCTCCTTCGTCTTGTCACTGTTAGATTCATCCAGGATGGATGCAGCCTTGGTACGTGAGATGGCGGGTACCTTAGGACCGTTGGTGGTGGTTGAGGGCTTGCGATTGTGACTGGCAAAGGTGGGCTGCAGAAGAAATATAACGTCAGAATTTTAAGGGTGCAATCGCTTCTCAAAACTTCGGAAAAGTGGAATGACATACCTTGATCAGAAATCATGCGAGCGCGAAGTGCGAAGCCTAACAGCGTTGGGTCCTGGGCCGCTTAAACGCCCCGGAAAAAATTTCAGATGCTGAAATATTCAGAGGCTGAAAGATTGATTTCAGATGCTCTGTGGTGCAATCTGATGTAATTTCTAACCACTTCAACACATTTTTTGAGCAAAGGATCATCATTTAAACGTCAGTTTTAGAAATTGGACTCATTGAATCATCTATTCTGAGCTACAGAATCTAATGAATGACTTGCAATTGGGCATGTGACTGACTTGTAATTTTGACATGTGACTGACTTGTAATATGACATGTCACTGACTTGTAATTTGACATGTGACTGACTTGTAATTTGAATCGTGACTGACTGGTAATTTGACGTGTGACTGACTTGCAATTTGACGTGACTTGTTATTGAACATGTGACTGACTTGAAATTTGACATGTGACTGATTTATAGTTTGACATATGACTGACTGGTAATTTGACTTGTGACTGACTTGCATTTGACGTGTGACTGACTTGCAATTTGACATGTGACCGACTTGAAATTTGACATGTGACTGATTTATAATTTGACATGTGACTGACTTGACATTTGACATGTGACTGACATGTGATTAGGCTTGTGACTGACTTGTAATTTGACGTATGACTGACTTGCAATTTGACGTGTGTCCGACTTATGATATGACATGTGACTGACTTATGATATGACATGTGACTGACTTGTGATTGGACAGGTGACTGACTTGCAATTTGACCTGTGACTGACGGCAAAACTTGTGGTGTACTAATCCTACAAAAAACTTGTTTAACAACGTTCCTTAAATAAACGTTTCATTTCCTGACCTTGTAATCAGTGTTCATGTTGCCAGACAAGCGTCGTGTCACCTTAGCGGTGCTAGCGCCCTCTTGTGGTGAGGCACCTGCAATTGGAGGGCATCTGAGGTCAGATGAACTGCCCTTTGATCGTTGTCCCATGGTGTAACTGGAACGTCTGCTGCAAAAAACATTCCAAGCAAGACAAATATAAACATCTTGTTTTGGGGTATGGCTTTTAGTTTGTATTATATTTGTAAAGTTTTGAGGGAGTTTTTTTAAAGAATTTTATACAGAAAGTTGACAGTAGTCTGTGTACACCATCACATTGCTTAGCCAAATTCAATGCCTTTAAAGGGATGATGACTCGGAAAATTCCTTCTTCGAAAATTCTCCTTAATTCAAGTCTTACCTGCTAGATGCAGTAGATGCAGGTGACAATGAACCAGGTGTGTCATCAATCTGAAGATTGATGACTTCATCGATGAGGTCATCCTCAATGCTATGGTTACGGCTGTTGCTATAGCGATAGGTCTTACTACCCGTCTGTTTAAAGGAAGATAGTTGAACAGGGTTATTAAAGTTATTCTTTCATTAAAAGTAGGACGGATAATTTTTTTTTTATATTTTAAAGACAGGTGCTTAACAACTAACCTGATGAAGTTTTAGCTCAGTGAATGCTGTATATTCCGAGTTAAACAATATTCTAGGATCTCGATTTGAATTAAACAGTTGCCGCACATGAAGACTTGCAGACTTTTCTTTTGGGATAAACATTTCATCATGTCGAGTCTTGCCTTGCACCAGACTATTTTGGAATACTGGCTATATTGCCATAGGCAAAGTATGATCAGACACACAAACAATTGAAGGCGCTCTGCTAATGCATGATGGGATGCGACTGAACACGTAATGTCTATGGATAGATAGCCTTGTAGGCTCCCAGCGCAAACAAAAGGGGGCGCTTTTTTTACCACAGTCGAGAGCCAGTGGATAGGGAAAACTGGGTGTGCTAGTTTTGCGCACTATACCACACGACTTATTTTATTCTGAATAGACAAAGCATTCGAATGTCCCTCCCAGTGGTCTCCCCGAAACCGTTGAGGTGGTACTTGTGAACGGAGCCCATATAAAGGTAAGGTCTCCGGAAAGTTTTACAGGTACCATAAACCACTTGAGGGCGCTCTACTAATGCATGCTGGGATAGGCGTGGACAGCTTACCTCCGTAGTCGGATGGATAGCACGCACTGGCTGTTGGCGAGTCTGCTGTGGTATCTTTGCTGGTGACGACTGCTTGCCATACAGCTTGGACAGTGGATCGATGCGGGAATTGGCGTTGATATCAGTGCCTCCATAGCGAGAGAAACGAGATTTCTCAGCTGTGGGAAAAATTAAAATTGTATCATGCATCCAATTCATATGCATCCCCATGAAATTTGCTTTCGTTTTGCTGAAAGACCACTTACTTTTTTTTGTGATCCGTGGACGGAACTTTAAACGGTGTGTGTTCACAATGCCTTAACCCTAACCGCCCTGAATCCTCCAAAATCCTTTTTGCAAATTGGAGGAATTTGCAGGATTGAGGTTACATGGCAAAAGTGCGTTGCTGATTTCGGAGTACGCACTATGTCAAGGTCTTGGGCCGGACCTTGTGTTGTTTATGCTCAGCCGTGCATAAATTTAGTCCTTGATTATACTTGACATCCTCCGCACTGCTCCAGGATGTCACTGCCTCTGCCTCAGCCTATTGACAGACATAGCCGGAGGATTTTGCAGGATTCAGGCAGTGGTCATCCCTCCATGAACCATATTCAAGAAATAGCGGAGGAATTTGCAGGATTGAGGCTATATGCTATTTTTCCATGAGGCCAATTGGAGGATTTTGCAGGATTGAGGCTACATCCTAGCAAAAATGCCTGGGGAGTTAGGGTTAATAACTTGAAAAGTACATGAGTGATTTGAATGATTCTTGTACTAAAAAAAAGCTTAACGACTTGGCTTTCATGTCCTAGATTTTGAAAGTGCTACAGGCAAAACTTCATTCAAAAATTGGTCTTACAATTTGGGATTTTTGTTTACTGACCCTGTACCGACGTTTGTTCTATGATGTTCTATGAGGCAACATGGCTCCTAGGCATACACATTTTTTTACAACTTGTGACATCGACTCCCTGATAAATGTTGGTATATTTCAGAGGAAAAAGTAATAAATGCAACTGACCTGAGCTACTGTCTAAGGCTCCAGTCTTGCTGGAACGCCGAGATGTAGGACGACCGATAGATGGAATATACTCCGTGCGAGAGAAACCACTCGGTGGATGAGGGGTACGTGAACCCGGTGGCGAAACTCTAGACAGGGAGCTGGGTGGACTAACCAGTCGGGCCGGGGAAGGAGATCGTGAAGAACGTCGCTGCACCGTGACGGGGGATTGGCGCTGAGATGGCGACCGATACGACATTCCGACTACATCATCCGCGGTACTCAGGGGTACTTCCACGCAGGGGAAACCATCACTGATCACTGGTAGTCCGTCATCGGGGGAGATGTGGACTAAGAGGGATTTGACGTGCTGGAAGTGGGGGCTTCCAGGGGGTACCTTGGGGGATACACAGGGTGGCGATTGATGGAAATGGGGGACGGAAGCTGATGATGTAGACACGGGGGAGGTGTCTATGGGCTTCCTATAACCTGAATGGGGTGCGGGAGGGGAGGGTGAATCAAAAATAGCATCACAAAACTGCATGTTTCTCAAAAACAATCAAACTAATATTGTCACAAATTTCACATTTCTTACAATGAAATTCATCCAAAAACATTTTTTTTTTGTAATACAGTGACAAAACATGAATTCCAACATTAGCCTAAACTTATGAGAATGGGGCAACAAAAAGAAACCTAGGTTTAATTTTGGATCCAAACAGTGTAAGTGTTAAACAGATAAGAACTTTCCAACACAAAAAATAGAGACTGCTTTATAGGCCTTTACACAATACCATAGGTCTTTGAATAACTGGGAAAATCTGGCAGTTTTCAAGACTAAGCTTGAACTACATGTATCTTGTTACGACATGGAACAACAGAGAAAACAACGTCCTGCACCTATTTCACAAAGCGTTGCGACGCGTCACACCCCAAGATTTGATGTGTAACAATCATGTCGCAACCTGCAATGCATTGTATGATCCATTTCACGAAATTTGCGATGTGTTGAACGCATCGTAAGTTCCTTAACCACGGCTTAAAACACATCACAAGATACGACGTGTCTAGTGGTCATGGCAAAATACGAAGTGTCTTCTTTTTAGCCAGTTTTATGCTATAGAAACATAAACGAGACTTTAATAGCGAGACAATGTGTGTAAAGTTGTAAATAGAAAATGCATGGAATAATAATAAATTAGCCTGGAATACTGCAGTTGAAATTTCAAAGTAGCTATACAGTCCACTGAGAGCTTGTTTTCTTTTAAAATTGCATCACACGTCCGCCATTTTGTTTTAAGTATTAAAAATTTGAGAGGAGATCCAACGACGTTGTTGAATATCAGACAACTATTTACTGTACGCTGACTAAATTCATTAAACAGTCACTGAGTTGTGCCATAAATACACCTGCGAAGCATCGCACTTCCCACGTGTTTTGTGAAATGGATCGCAGGACGCGTCGCAGCTGCAACGCATCGTAGGGATAGGACGCGTCGCAGCGCTGTGATCTATCGTAAGTTACGGTGTACGATGAGTTTCATGAAATCGGGTGCTGCACATACAAGTCACGTTTCTTACACTGACTGACATGACTGGGTCCCTAAACGAAAAAACTCTTCATTTTCTCTCAATTTCTCGAACATGGAAAAACAGGCTTCCTATTAACTGATTAAACCAGAGTACAAAAATCATGAAAACTGACTGCCCCTTTAATCATCAGATGCTCAGAACTGCTCAGCCCATTCATATTAATGTGCAGACCTTGAACAAAAAGCAAGGAAATATTAAAGGGTTCATGAAAAGGAACAAAGTAGTGGAAAGATGAAAATGTGTTAGTGCTGAAAATGAATGAAAAACATGCATGGCACAGAACAGCATACAGTGCATTGCAGTGAACAAATCACTGGGCTAAATGACAACATGCAAAATACAATTGAGAAACATTAAGATATGGTTTAGTTCAAAATAATTATGCAAGGTTTTTCACTAAATGTTATCATAGTTTATTTTAAAAAAACATGCAAGGCATAAATTAATGTAATTGTACTTACAAGTTCGTGTACAAATAAATGTCAGCCATTTTAACGTCTGGAAAAAAATGCATTCGTTTCAAAATATACAGAATACACAAATGATAAAAATACCATAGATGCAGAGGCACATTCGTTACAAAAACTTGTTTTAGTCAATATTTTCATCAAGCTTGTGCTCATGAAACAGAACTTAAAGTGGCCACAGAGGGAAAAGAATTAAAATACACTGATGTGATGAAAAAGAATCAGATCCATTTATCTCAGGTGGTGCTGTATACGTAATGAGTTTTATGAATTTAAGCTAGTGTGAAGCTCAGGTACCAGTAAGGCCCCCCCCCCAAAAGAAATTGTTCTGCGTCCGATTACATGACATTTGAAAATAGGGTAGGTAGGTAGGGAATTTTCTATTTTTCTTGCCCTTTTTTTAGTGACTACAATCATTTGGAGGCGTCTGCCTGTAGAGAGGGGTAAAACATAGAAAATTGATGGTTTTGGGTGTTTTCATTTCTCACTTTTCCCAAACAAAAATTGATAGGGGCTGTCAGAATAGGGAAGGTAGGGCAACCGGAAGCAGAATCTTTTTTTTTGAGGAACTAGTGCAGTGCCCGTCTAAATGTGCATGTTCGGGAAACGCAAATTGCTTTGCCGCTGGTATAGGTTGCATACTTGCAGAGTTTTGGAGAACTGCTCGTGCAAACAATGCACGCGATTCAATGGTGTTGTTTTCACAGGTTGAACGCACACTTACGTCGAAGTTTGTGCCAAGTTTGAAGTTCGACCACCTACAATGGTTGCTCAGTCGACTGCAAAAATAATGTGCCCGTGTACATACCAAAACATGGTATGCAGTGCTATTCACCCATACTGGACAATGTATCGCCCTACAATGCACGTGCGCATGCCCGTCCTTTTTGCATTGTTTGCGTCATATTGAGCACGCGCGCTTTAGCTTAAACATGACGTAACAATTGAAAAGAACGGCAACGCGTGGTGTTATGTTCTAAGCTGCCACGTTTGCGTCCGAATATACTGCTTTTTTTGCAGCTTTTTCGAGAACCGCTCGTCCAAACCACTACAAACTTGGCACTGCACATTCTGTGGCCCCGAGCAATACACCCGCCGATTTTCAACTTCATACGGTGCCCGGTTCTGGAGATAATCGACGGACAGACAGACAGACAGAGATTCCTGGAATTATAGTAAGATAGTATCGAAAATATTGAAAATGTGTCAGATTATTGTCAAAATAAATCTCCCGTTTGTGCTTTTAACATGTTTAAGTTTGTGTTTATTGTTTGCTGTATAATGAAATAAAAATCAGCGGCAAAATTGTGCTTTTGACTCAGAAAAAAACATCGCGAAATGCCAAGCGTCGCCACTTTGTGCTGTGCATTCGCTGGAATTCGCGGTCTCCCCCAAAGTTAAACTACCGGTCTTTGAAAAAAAAAACCACCCAATTGGGACACACTTAGTGCTGAGATTTGTTTTAAAAAATTTGAGCAATATACTCCAGAGAAAGCTGTGGAAAATTAGGACTTGACTTTTTCTTTAATCAAAGTGTCAACTTTATGGTCTTTAACTTTTACATGGAATACTCAAAATATCGAGTATTCTCGATATTGGATTATCGATATCGATTATTCAAATTCTGATATCAATGGTGCTTAGGTACCAGACATGACAATTAAGAATTTCCCATCAGAAATATGAAACCACAATGTTGAAATATTGAAGTCCATTGAACGCAATTATGGTAATTGTAAGGTCGACGGTTGAGTCACACACAAAGAGTTAATCTCCTTTATTAAACTTGTGTCAATGTCTGAGAAAAAAAGGTTTTTGTTTTGGGCACTAACAGATCTACTTTTTGAGCAGACTGGCTCTCGGTCTGTACATTATCGATACTGATTGTGGGGTGGGAACCAGCCTACCCCAAACCTGCCAAAAGAACAGAAATTATTGGCTGACTGCCAATAATTTAAAATTGTAAAATCATAATTCAATAACTTAACACAGGTCAATTTTTTGGTCAAAATCTCATTAGAAAGTTTACAACTTTTGCATGCATATTGCTGGAAATACCGGTATATCTATTTACATGTATAAAAGGAATATACAAAATTTGAAAAAATGGAAACAAAATATAAAGGAATGTCCGAGGTAGAATGTGTATAAACCAACATGGACAGTACATTGTGTAGATGTAGGTATGGTTTGAAAGATACACTTTTCCACTTTAAAATTAGTTATCAAATGTCCAAATCTGATAATTTTTGACGGAGCTAAGTGTAATTTTCCAAGAGAGGTCAAATTCACCATGGAACAAAATATTCCATTTTTAGGCATTGGGAAATGTAGCCTAATAGCGTCTGTGTGGATAATCCTAAACACTTCTTGCTATCAGTTGGAAACATGTTAAACAATTTTAGCATGAGGTGATAGCAAGAAAGCGTTTAAGATTATGTTTACTTGCTAAACATATTTTTTTAGGCCAAGCAAATATTCACACTAAGCAACTTGGCTACCTTTGTCCCAATGCCTAATATTGAAAACTTGGTCCCATGGTCAATTTTAACCTCTCTTGGAAAATTACTCATAACTCTTTTAAAAATTATAAGATTTGGACATTTCATGTCTCATTTTAAATTTGAAAGGCATCTCTTTCAAATCATACATATTATCTATTTTGGTTACACATTATACGTCTGGCATTCCGTTATATTTGGTTTGCATTTATTTTGATACACACTATGTAAATTGCGATAAAAATAGGGCAGGGAATAATCTTTGAACCTGAACTAATATCACACATTAAACTTGCAGTTTTATCTGAAGTTATCTCGATTTACAGCAATCACTCCAGAACTGCAACATGTAACTTCGGTGAATGCCTAAACTCCTGATTTAAAGAAAGACACTTTTTGTAATAATATTGCAGAGTTCCAAGCAATTCGACTGTAGATATTCCGTCATTTTCCACATTCACAATGGAGGTCGCAATCTGCCGATGACTGAAATGTCATTCTGCAATGTAGACTACTACATGTATATTAAAAGATTGACTAATGTAGATTTTGAAGAACAACGCTTCAGCTATCGCAGATTTGGTGCTCTTTAGTCAGTGAGTTCCTAATGTTCAGCTCCATGCAAGTGCTTGTAGTCTGTCTGTGAACATGGCGAAACGCTGATTTATTGGAGAAAAGTTCATTATTTCGAGGACAAAGTAAAATGTGCATTTATCCTTCCTGGGGAAAATGAGCACATTGCTGTTGACGTATGGCACTAGACTTCCACTTCTAGACTTGTACCCATCCTCTACTGTACATGTTTACAATACAAGGAGGGAATAGGAACCAGTCAACTCAAGTTATCAAATTCTTGTCTTTTGGGATAAACATTGCATTGATTCACAAATTGAAACAGCTGAACAGCACACATGGGCTGCATATCAGGGCGCCCTCGTAGTTCATGCTCAGAGTCCATTACATGTGTTAAGGAGTTGTGTTCGTTTGAGCCATGTTGCGACCAATCCTTTTTAGGTTCCTTGTACATTCTTGGATAACTTTGTGAAGTAGGCAATTTATACTTGCTGATTCAATAAAGTCAAACATCAGTTCATTTGTACGAAGCTTACCATAAGTCGCGTTTCTGTCACTCTTAGAATCACCCTTGCCACTCATGGCCTTCTGCTGTCCTTTCTTGGCCAACTTCTTGGCAATCCGTTGCTCTTTCTGCTCCACCTTCTCTTGCTTGGCTGCTTCCTTCTTCTGCCTCCTCGCTTCCTTCAGTGCCTCCTTCCGTTCCTTTTCGCGACGGATCTGCTCCTGTTTCTCCTTCTTCTTCCGCTCGGCTTCAGCTCGGGCGGCTTTTTTGGCTGCTCTTTTTGCCAACTTCTTATCAACCTCCTTGAACTTCTTGGCAAGGGATGGGCTGAACATCTGGGTGATCTCTGCTTCCTCAACGCGGAGCGATGAAGGACCCTTGACAGGTGGCTTGGACTTGTCATCAGGCTTGGTGTTCTTGGACTTGGGGTTGGTGGCATGACCCTTGACCTTGTTGTTCAGGCCAGTCTCGGACTCGATGACTTCTGGCTCACAAAGACACACTGCCTTCTTCACCTTTCGGAAAAAGGTATTTCTGGATCCTTCCTTTACTGGCTGACTAGCCCTAGTGGCCTCAATTGGCCCGTTCTTCACAACCTCGGACGGCCGAGCTTCTTTGGCCTCGGAGAGCCGAGCTTCTCCGGTCTCAGATGGCCGGCATTTTTTGGCCTTTTTCCCTCTGATCGGGCCAGGTCTTCCACGCCCAAGTGGACCAGAGGGTGGCCGGGTAGAGTCAAAGGGCAAAATGTTTGCTTAGGGTTTAGCTAACAGGTGGATCTAAATATTCCTGAGCTACTCTACACGCTGTTAGGCTAAGCAATGCTGTTATAGGGTACTGTTAGAAGAGAAAGAGGGAAAAAGGAAACAGATGGTGTCGAGGTTGATGTTAGTGAGAAAGAAACACAAAATGATGGGATAGCACAGGAGAAATGATTGCAACAGAAACAAATGTCAAGCTTTAGAAATGAAGTCATGCATTTGAAATGGGGAAGGGGTTGGTGGTTATTTGGATTTAGTAACATTAAAGTGCAAAGCTCAGAACATGTATACATGTGAGCAAAAGTTTTAGTGCATGCAACCTACATGTATTTAGAAATTTGAGTATGAACTTTATCCCTTTAAAGGACTTTATATAAAGTTTATGCCAACTCCTATTTACAAATTCACTCCCATGTAAATTTATAAACTAAGACTTGAATTTCAGTATGTATTCCAAAGGTTGAATGCAGACTCATAGCAGACTCAAGTAAAATTTCTCAATTCAGGTTTAATTTATAGCACAAAATGCAAGTTTCCTGTGTGATTTCTTTAATGAAATCAAAGTGGTACAAATAATGTTCCTAAATTACAAGTTATTGTTCCTAACCACTATTGTATGTTTAAACATACATGTAGCCTACTGGAATTGTTTGACAATCTCCAACTCATTACATGTTGTTGCATTCTTTTACATGATTGATGATTGATGATTTAATATGATTGGTAAAGATAATTTTGTCATATATTTATCATGTTTATATGGTCCAACATTCATCATAATCTGCATTTTATTCTACCAAGGCCAGCCCAGGAAATAAAGTTTTGGCCACCCCCGTCTTCCCTACCTACCTGCCTCCCCCCCCCCCCCCCCCCCGGCCCGGCCGAGAAAAAAAAATAAATATTTAGGTCCTAATTCAATAATTGAGCGAAAGGAAGGCAATAATATAAAACACTGGGGACAAAAGATAGGCACAGCCTGATCAAACAGGTGAAACGACACCTCGACTGAATTCTGCGACGCACTAGCCTTGCAGATAAGCGCAGCGTGATTTGCCACTCGTCCATGGGGGATAGCGCGTCGTTTCACGGTATCCATGCACAACGATTGTCCGCTCACACGCGTAAACTCCCCGTAGCGCGCGCCGCGCAACTGTCTGACAACAATTTCTATATGTGCAAAAATAATCAATGATTTTCACCTCATACAAAAAGTTGTCATCGTACAGAAATGCATGAATGTAATCTTAACGCTATAATTTATGTTGTATTTATAGTATTTCAACAATCACTCACCGGGAACTGACGATATTCAGGCTTTTTTTCTCAAAAAAGTAGACGACAACTCACAAAACGACATCGACGACACCTTCTACGACTGTTAACACGCATGCGCATACCGGTATTGCCATAGAAACGAATTGAGAATTGTGCCTGGTGTTAGACACGATTTATATGCTTTTATACGTGATCCAATGATTACCATTGATGGCATGTCAGATTTTAATCAATAGAGGGCGCACAAACGATCAATTACTAGACTGGCTTCCAGTCCTTCTTTCGATTCTGACTTTATGGGGATGAAGGGAATTGGAGGAGAACGTTTAGCAAATGAAAGTCATTTTACATTAACACACATGAATTGAAGTAAGATGTGATTTGAAATAAATTAGAATAATAGTTTCTATTTCCAGCAGTGAGGTAGGGTTATATTTGTTGGGGGGGGGGGGGGGGGGCAGTACATGGCGTATCACGGCCATTATTACTTGGTTGGGGGGGGGGGGTAATTTTGTTTGAGAAGGGCACTTGCACATCCGTGGTGAAATGTAGCCAGGTTTTTTCCTCCGGACACTTGGCCTCCGTAAAATCAAAAAGCGAGGGGGGGAGGCAACCTTTTTTGTCGGCAACATATGGTGCTGTCGGCAAAAAAGAAAATGAAGAATGGAGAAGGAAGTGAAAGGAAGAGGGAAAAAGAAAAATGGAGAATGTAAAAAATAAACACTGCTGCTCAAAACCCCACGAAGCTATAAAATCCAGTTCTGTAACCCATGGCAAAAGAGTGTACTTTCTGCCAGTGTAATGTCGGCACGTGAGCTGCAGCGCGAGGTCGCTTCACTGGCGGTTGACAGTTAGCAGCTGTGCAAAACACAAGCACGTGCGCGCTCGCCGGCATGAAGCTACTTCAGCTAATTCTTAGTGGCGACTCAAAATCATGGATCAATTAGCTAAAGAGGGCAAATCTCGAAAGCGAGTCAAGCTACAGTTTTACTACTTCGCTTCAAATTGGCCACTATCAAGATGAATTCGAATGCTATTTTTGCGGAATTGGCTGGGAAAACCTATGAGAAAACAGCAGAAACATGGTAAAACCTTATCGTATACTAACGCTTTTGAATAACAAAATGTCTGTAGTTTTACAAGTGGCCATATCCGCACAGCACTTTTCCAACACATGTCAAATTATCAATGTTATTCTTCTGCGACCAATGTTGGCTCTGTAACTCATCTGCGTAGTAAGCCTACAGCGTCCTCCCCCCCTCACCCTCACAGCCACGTTAGAACGGTACGCTAAAATTTACTGAACGAATGAGTTTCCGCAGGCCGAAATAATCCAGCTGCGGATCGGCACGCTTGAATAACCACAATGCAGCATTGACGATCATCATAGTATTAACTTTTCAATAGATCTCACGGCAAAAAAGTAGAGGGGAAAACCAATGGAATGATCCAGGTACATAAGTCAACTTTTAGATTCAACTATTCTCTCTAAAGGTAAGTAAAATGAACATCTGTGACATGAACTCGTCTGCCATCCCATTCAACAGTGTCTCCAGGAAGATTTATAAGCACGCGTCACGAGCCGAGCAAGACAGACTGTTGACTGCGAACGGCGGCTACGTAGTTCATCAACTGATTTGCTATCTACTACAGCACACCAATCACTTGCGAACGTGCAACAGAAAGAGCGTCTTGCCAACAGAGTTTGACATCGGAATAGGTAAGTGGTGTTAATAATTGTGTTTGGAAAAAACACTATTATGGCTTCGTGAGATGTGACGCAGTCCATTTAGCCCTCTATTCTGGGCACTTTCATTTTTGCTACTAATTAAATGATATCAAGTGTATTTGGGTTACTTGTATCCAAAACACTGAAACAAAGCGGTTTATTAATGCAGATATGACAGTAAAACGCTATTTTTTCCAATAAAAAGACCATTTAACGTGTACGAAGTTGGGACTGTTTTATTGGCTCAATGGTTGATTAAAGTTAACAGTTTTGCATTTATTCCAAAATTTGTGATATCAAATTTGCTTCATTTAAAGATAAGTCTGCATAAGAATATTTGCAGTGAATAGCCGTAATGAATCAATTGAATAGCATTGTGTGTGCTCTGGCACCAGCTTTAATAAGCCATTTGCGAGTTGAATTTGAATAAAATCTGGCAAGCTGACTTAATCCAATGCTTTGCACGTGTTAACTTTGCATTCTCCCAACGAAAGAGACTGTTTCTATATCACGTGATTTGGGACAAGCCTTATACTAGCAACCTCCAGCTCCGGCATGGTGTAGTGTCTTTGTGCCATTCTCACCCATTGAGAACGATGTATTGGTGCTAAGCGTCTCTTACGTATTTATGCAAGAGCTTGCCCCAAATCATGTGATCAGCAGCAATGTCTTTGGTCTTGAGAATTCACAGTTAAAATGTGCTGTGCATTCTGAGCAAGTCGGTGTACTAAACGTTTTCAGATTTAAATCCCAAAGGGTAAAGGTTACTCGCAAATGGCTTATTAGGCTTGATTTGTCTTGTATTAAACCATATTCACGTGTAACTATGAAATATTGCTTTACGGTTTGAACAACTGAAACTTGAATACTGAGCGAAAATGTCTCTTCTCTGTCAGAAAAACATTTTCCCTAACAATAATGTTCAATGATTTGAAAATCAAAATGATTTTGATGTGAAACTTGAATTGTCAATCTACACACAGAGAGCTATTGCAAAAGCACGCGTACGGAGAAGCAGAATTGTGTTCGTTTCTTTTACTTGTAACAACAACGAAAAGGAATCGTCTCGTTTCAAAAATTTAGGTGAATGCAAAATACCAAAAGAAGCGTCAATCTTAAAACGAATTAAACTTCTGCCAAACGGTTCACGCACAGAGTTGAAACTTTTCTGCAACTTTAGCATGAACCCTGGCTTGTCCCACGTACGTTTCAGTAGCACTTTCTACTACGCATGTGCGATTCCTGGGTTTGTTTGCATACGTAATGAGGGCTGTAGATTTACACCGATGATGCGACTCAAAAGGATATATTTGTACTTTATCGTTTATAGACCATTTAATTTGGGAGCCGTTGTTAATATATCACTATTTAGTTCATTCAGTGAAAATTTGTCGAAGAAATGTAAAGAGTGCACAAGCAATTACATTCACTGCGTGGACTTCCGAACAAAAGAGGTCCACATAAACCAGGTAGCAGCGACGTTGTGTGGACGTCCACACAGTGTTTCCCCCTCTCTGGAAAACAGGTTTAGAGGCATTTTGGGGTTAGGTTTATCCGTGGCAAAATGAAGAGAAACACTAAAGGGAATCATATATAAATGTTTGGGTTGAAAGAGTTTTCACAGTGTGAGTAAAATGAGGTTTTTTTCGGTGGTTTTTCTTAACTACACAAACACAAAGAAATGTCCATACTATGTATGTAATGTAAACATGACGTGACGGTGTATGTAAATATTTCATAAAAGTATCCTTCCCATTTTTTTTTTTTTTAATATGAAAGGACTCGTTGAACAAGTAACCAAAAAAGAACTTAAATTGTTTCTAAGGTCCGTTGCCATGGTAAACATGCCATTTGTGTTGGGCATTTTAACCAGTTTGGGGGCTTCAAAAACTGCTTTTAACTTATTAAAAAAAATCACCCCACCAAAATGCAAAATTGTATCACATTATCAACTATATCATTACAAAGTATCATCCTTGCCCTTGAGAAAAACAAAATGTTTTAAATGTCACCCTGATGCTATATTTAGAACATGCATAAAAGCATGTTTTTAGAACTTGCAAAAATTGTAATTTTTAGCCTATTTTGTCCCTCAAAAAGTCAACTTGCCAGGAGTCTCGGAATATTTTCCTTTTAAAAAGGAATTGCCAAGTACACTTATATAAAATATTTACGCGGACCCACGCGGACCCAAAACTATTTTCTGAGAACGTAGAAACGGTGATTTGATGAAACAAGCGTCGTTCCTCAGATGCTGTTTGTTAATAGGACCATTTTGTTTCCAACAAAAGCATAATTTCGATGGTTTCCCCAACATACATACTTGTACATAACGGTAGAGGGGATTATCAAGTAATCAAAGTTCAAAACAATATTTTTGCTAGATTTTTCTGTCCAAAAACTGCTCCCAAAACACATCGAGTACTCGTACGGTACGTTAGTACGATTTCAGAAAAAAAATAGTCAGATTTGTTGAGATCTGGTACCGCGTATCACCAGCAATCAAAACACCTTATAACATACAGTTTAGTCGGCTTTATAATCGCTCATTTCTATCAAAACACACATAATCTAGCGAGAAGAAATCGATTGTATGTAAAGAAATAACCCCGTTAGGTTTGATGCTCAGCATTTTATTGCCCTGTGGAAACTTTCAATGTCTAGAAATCTTCAGCGAAAACATGACACATGAACGATCAAAACTCAGCTTTTTTGGCACCTTAGCAACCACTGTGCGAGGAAAAAAATCACCACATGAACAATCTTCCTCGAAATTAATTTTTAGCCGTAGTATTATTTGGGCTTGTTTAATACAAAACCTTTCTTTAAATAAAAATGCCTTTACAATTTCGCGCGTAAAAATCAGTTAAACTTTGTATCTAACAAAAGGAAGTGCTTGGTTGCCAGGGCCGATTTCGTATGGCTTTCGATTGCGCAGTCAAGTTCCTGCCGCACTTACAGATAACCTATAAATATCGCACGTTCTATGGGAGTGAAACGTTCGTGGTCCATATGTTACATTTTTGTGACGTCATCATGACGTCTTCATGTATGAAATTACAAGTGATTTCACCACAAAAATGGACAAAATAATTTAAACTATAACAAAAATATGACAAAATTGCCATAAAACAGTTCTTTGTAGACAATAAGCATATGTTGCATCTGCAGACAATTAATGTGTCGTACAGTGACGCCACGCATCACTCATTCGTTAGCTGAGACCAGAATTTTATTATGCCCGTGCAAAGACAAAAAACCATAAAAATATTTATTTTTAGATAATAAGCATAATGTTGCATAAACTCCAAGGACGTTAGAGGCTCCGTCAATCTCCATATTGAAGTCTACTGATACTGTTGCTATTTTTGAGCAGCCATAATTTTTATGTGCGGCTCCAGACAGTACATGCGCTTCAAAAACTAGACCATGTCTTCCGTATTTTATGTTGGCCCATATCTGCCGTGTCAGCAACAAACTTCATAAAGTCTACGATGCTGATACTGTTTCTATTTTTGAATAGCCATAGATTATGTGCAGCACCAGAAATGCGCTTCAAAAAGTTCGATTATGTCTACCATATGTCGAGAATATCAATTTTTTAAGTTGCTTTGTATTCAATGGCAAGAGCCAACGAACGAAGGTGACATCAGTATTCAAACAAAGTGAATTTGTAGAGGGCGCTGTTGGAGCTACCGCAGCACCCCCCGTTCCCGCGGGCTTGTAGTGGCGGGAATCAGTACTATTGTATTTTTTCCTCATCTGTCTTCTCTTTTCTCATTGGCTTCACAGTAAAGATGGCTGTCCTTAGATATTCAGAAGCGCCGCATAAGCCAAGAGTGTTTGGACAACTGTGACTTCTGCGAACGGAGGACCCAGTATTACGACCAAGACGGATGTATTCAGGCGTGCATCGCCAGTTATTCGCACAGGGATGCAGATTGTCATGGGCACTTCGATTACAATTACTAGTACAATTGAAAGCAGTAGGCCTAACCCGATTATGAGTTTGGTCAATCAGAATAGTTCTCTTGGCCGATAATTCGCCCACCTGAATTCTAGCTAAGATTTATTTTAATAGATTAACTTTTCTTTAAGTCTGTCTTTTCTTCCCACGTTGATGCTTTTAAAAGAGTTGAAATTTGAAATCTAAATCTTCCTTGATGTTCGAAATCGTAACTTTTACATTACTTGGGTAATAATTTTGCTGTTTCGTAACAGAAATTGTGAAAACAATTGGTTATTGTCAAGCAGACGTGCGTTTTTTAAACGTGACATAATCCACATTTGTTTGTTGCATTTTAACCTTTCAATAATGTCCACTTTAATACATCTTTAAGATCTTTTTTTTTCTGTTTAGTGTTTTTATTGAAAATTAAAGGCTGATTTTACTTCCCCGTGACATATTATCTTTAAAAAATTTGGCACTTCGAAATTTTCGATCGAATTAATTATACAATATAAAATATAAGCAAATAACACAAACTTTTAATCGCTTGTGAGAAAAGTATGTACAGTCGAACCCTGATAAGAAGGGCACTATTAAGACAACACCCTGCTTATAACAAGGAAAACGCTAGGTCCCAATTTTTTTTTTCTTCTTTGCTTTCCATTACTACTAACACAAGGTACCTGTTATAACAAGGTAATTTGTTAAGTCCCAAGAACCTTGTTATAAAGGTTCGACTGTACATGTTTACACCTTACTCACGCATGCCTACTTGACTGAGATTTTAAAGGGTGCCAAGATCATTGTAAAACGTAGCCATTAAGGGTCACATTGTATTTTTACTTTGAAAGGGTTGCTAGATGATTCCCCCACCCATTTTATGACTCAATTGCTCTAAGGGGACTTTTTACTCAGTAAAACTATGGTAGTTGATTTGATGTAGCATCGAAGGAGTTTCAAATGAAGTTAGTTACTGCATACCATAGTTAGTAAAAGAAACATTTATTTCAAGTTGTGTGACGATAATGCAGTATAAGCCAGGATGAAATCTAGCTGTGTGAGGCTAATGAACAACTGTTCTGTTGTAATACTATAGACCTTTATCATGCTACCACCATTCCAGTCATGTTCCCTGTATCAAATAACACTACAGAGTCATATTTTTTGGTGCAAAAAGGAACCAGACTATTTTCCCTCCCAGCCTCACTTTGGTTATATTGATTTCAATGGGAAAAAAAATCGAGATGGCCGCAACGTTAAAATTGTCTTTTCTTCAATATCTTAGATAGATTTCTCGTCATGACCATGAAAGAAGTGTAATATTTGACGTCCGCAGATGATTAAAAAAATGCTCCAATTCGTTGAAGCCATCTCGACTTACTTGAAGTAACCGCTAGAATTTGTGTAAAACAATGATGAACAAATTGTTATTGGAATATTATGTACTTCTCAGTGCAGAAACAAAGTGTCTGGGTCATGTGAGGGTTGCCTTTGTAATGAGAATGTAACGATAGGAACACATGAAATTGAATATTTGACATCATGATTCACTTGGCATTTTTAATAGAATGCTCATGTTGGTTGAAACTACATTTTACCAAACCGTTGATACCTAAAGATATCGGTTGGAAGAGCTGACGTGAATTATTGCTTATTTTCTGCTGAAATTGTGGGCATATTAAAATCCCCCCCCCCCACAGTAGTGTGGTTGGGGTCTACGAGCGAATACTTACCTGTAGAGCGAATACTACATATGCATTGTTCCCTATGCCGGCAGGCAATTCGCTAAGAGTTTTACATACAATAGCGCCCTCACGTGTCCTACCCACGACGCCCTGTGACATGCGCAGTACGTTAGCGTCCTCTTTTTCTCAAGCGTTACTTGCGTAAGCACTCAAGGAATCGAGTATAGTGGGGAAGGAGGGAGGGGTGCTCTACAGGTAAGTATTCGCTCGTAGACCCCAACCACACTACTGTGGGGGGGGGGGGGGGGGGGAGTCTACATCACTCTACTTACCTGTAGAGCGAATACTACATATGCATAGACTCGCACCGAGTAAGGCGGTGGGTATACGCAAATTACCGTATGTCTACAGGGGTGTAGGACATGAGGCGTGTCCAAAGGCAAACAACACCAAACCAAAAAACCTACACCCCAGACGCTCCAGGTTTCACCTCGTAAGGGGAACCCAAAGAGCTCGTGCGCAAAAAGTCAGGGGGGTGTAACCATTATGGGGATGAACCCATGATAGGTACACCTAATTAAACTTAATGCCCATACAAATATATATGTATATTTATATGCTCACCCGTTAGTGCTTCCGTGAGGCTGCCAGCAGCACTTCTCTTCCAGCCTTGCCATCTACCTGGAGGACATCCTTCAGGTAGCATATGGAGAACGTGTTAGGGTTCTTCCAGCAGGCTGCCTTGACGATGTCACCTAGGGGGACACCTTTAAAAAAAGGCCCACGAGGTGGACACTCCCCTGACCTCATGCGCTCGAATGGGTCACTGGGTCGCTGGCCAGCCGCCCGGTACGGAACGGATAGCTGTCACGATCCAGCGAGTGATTGTATCGCGGGACGCCGGCCCATGGGGCGGGGTCGTCGTGATGAACAATTTGTTGTGTCCCGTACGAAGTGACTTCGTACGGTTGACATACCACTTAAGTGCTCGAACTGACACCAAAGTTTGTCATTTGTCTCGTTCGAAAAAGACTTGATGTCCGGGACAAAGATGTCCGGGGGCGTAAAGGTCTGCGACAGGTTCCCTGCGAGAAAACCGGCCGTAGGGATCAGGCGGACACCCCCCGGTTCCCACCGGATGTGTCCTGTCTGCATCGATAACGAGTGTAGTTCACTACGTCGTCGGGACGTAGCGACAGCCAATAGAAAAGCTACTTTGATGGAGAGTTGTAACAAAGTTGAGCAATTCATTGGTTCAAAGGGAGCCTTCGCCAGTGTAGATAATACACTGAAGAGGTCCCAAGATGGGATTAATGTGCGTACTGGGGGACGAGTATTAAACATCCCCTTGATCAGTTGGGTAATTGCAGGGTTGCCGGAAACGGAGGAACCGTCCGAAAATCCCTGATGGATCACGGCAACGGCCGATCGATAATTTTTTACCGTGGCCGTCGTGAGCCCACCGTTAAAAAGGTATAGGAGGAAATCCCCCACTTCCCCTACAGAAGTATTGGAGGGATGAATGGATTGCTGTCTACACCATTTAAGAAATGGCGTAGTCGGCTATCGTACACCTTTCTGGTTGAGGCTCTACGGGACTGAGCTGCAATTGTTGCAGCTCGTCGCGAAAGGCCTGCTGAGCAGAGGGATCGCGTGACAATACCCAGCACGTCAGGTGAAGATCCCCCGGAGCCTGGTGACTGATTCCCGAGCTGGGCTGATAAAGGAGATCGGCCCTCCTCGGTAGAATTACCAGGCGGTGAACCAAGAGTCGGCCGAGCCACGGCTGGCGGGGCCAGAACAGGCTATGAGGAGAATTCGGCAATCCTCCTGCTCGATCTTGGTCAGCACTCGAGAAACGAGGGAGATGGGTGGGAAGGCGTAGGCCAGTAGGCCGTTCCACCACACCGACAGTGCATCGGTCTGCCACGCGTTGGGATCTGGGTCCCTCGCGCAGTAGATCGGTACATGTAGCTGATTTTCATTCGCGACGCGAATAGGTCCACATGCGGCCGGTCGATTAGTCGGAAGATCGACTGAGCCACCTGTGGGAGCAGTGACCACTCTGTCGGGGCGATCCAGCCTCCGGAGAGAGCGTCGGCTGTGACATTCTCTTCCCCCGGGATGTGTACTGCCGACAGTGCTATCCCGTGATGTATGCACCAGAGGGTGAGATCCCACGTTAGTGCACACAGATGGCCTGACCGAGTGCCACCCTGGTGATTGATGTATGCCACCACTGTGGCGTTGTCGCATCGTACCAGGACTGCTTGCCCTCTGACGTCCGACTGGAAATGTTTTAGTGCGTTGGTGACTGCCAGCATTTCCAGGATGTTGATGTGGGATGATTGATGTGCGGGGCCCCACACGCCCGCGACCTGTCGCGGGTGGAGGGTAGCCCCCCAGCCGTACCCTGACGCGTCGGTTGTGATAAGTACCGACGGGCGGGGCGGGCGGAAAACGCGGCCCTGCATTATATTGGCCTCGACTAGCCACCAACGAAGGTGGGGGACTAGCCAAGACGTAGTGGGCACCGGATGGTCGATCGGGTGCCAGCGGGGTCTGTAGAAAGACAGCAGGTGAAGGTGAATTGGCCTCATCCTCAGCCTGCAAAAATCCAGTAAGTCCACCAGACTGGCCATAAGGCCCAACAGCCTGAGCCAGGCTCGGGCCGGAGCCACTACCGTCGGGAGGAAGAGGGACACGCACTGCCGAAGGTTCAGCAGGCGGTCCTCCGATGGACGGGCCAGTCCCCTGCGAAGATCGAGGGATGCACCTAGAAAGGTGGGAACCTGAGAGGAGACTGGGTGGGATTTCTTAGTGTTGATGAGAAATCCCAGGTCGGTAGCAAGGTGCCAAGTTAGTTGGAGCGCCGCTTCCGTCTCCCCTCGAGAACGACCCACTACTAGCCAATCGTCGAGGTACATGAATATCATGATCCCTCGTCGCCACAGTGCCGCCCCGATCGTCTTCACGATCCAGGTGAACACCTGCGGAGAAGTGGATAGCCCGAACGGGAGCACCACAAATTCGTACAGTATATCTTTGTATTGGAAACGTAGGAATTTGCGGTGCTCCGGCCTGATCGGTACGTGAAGATACGCATCTTTCAAGTCTATACTGGCCGCCCACGCGGGCGTGATGATCGATTTGAGAATGGTCCGTAACGTTTCCATGCGGAAACGTTTCGGACGTATGAACTTGTTGAGGGGTTTTAAGTTCAATATTGGACGCCACACGCCGGTCTCCTTCTTGGGGGCCAAGAAGAAGGTTGACATGAAACCTGCCCGGGTCCCCCCTTGGGGGACAACACGAACTGCTCTCTTTAGAAGGAGTGGCGTCGATCTCCTCCTCGAGGGAGCGGCGTTTTGCTGTGTCGGGCGGTATGGGCGTTGTCCGAATAAGCATGTCCGATGGGGGGGGGGGGTCCTCGTAAACTCGAGCGCGTAACTGCTGCTGATCGTTTCGAGGACCCACCGGTCGGAAGTCACCTGCACCCAGGACCCCACGAACGGGAGGCCGTTCGGAGACGCATAAGTCACTTGCGCCACACCCCGGGGTACCGGGTAGTGGGCGCCCGGAAACCGCGTCCCGACTGGGGACGCCGTTGTCCGGTATGTGGTTGTGAATAACGCGGGCCCACCGTCTTATCGGCGCGCCCACGAAATCCACCACGGGCCGCCCTGACCGGGCGGCGTCAGGGAATGACAAAAGAAGGTTGTTTCTTTGTCTTGTCCGCAGTTTTCAACTCGGCCGGTTTCTTGAGATTAATTCTCTCAGTGGCCTTGAGGCGCTATGCTTCGGCCTCCATGGCCTCCTGGAACTTACCAGAAAATAAGTCCGGGCCTGAAAGCGGAAGTTCGTCGAGACGCTTACGTGCTCCCGGTGACGGGAGGAAAAGCGCATCTAGCACATTGGCACGGCGTGACGATGTTGCTAAGGTCGACACTCTAGCAAACTGGTCGAGAGTGGAGCACAGGCCGCGATCGAGGCAATGGAGAGCAGCCACCATCATATCGGCTGGTATCACCGAATCTTCTTCATATCCCAGTGCCAGGTACTCTGATAGGAGAAGAAGAAAGGACGTCGCACGCATACCCATGCGTGCCGCCGAGTCCATTCTACGGGTGACATCCTCCAGTTTTCCACGGGTCTTGTCCGTAAAAAGGAACTTTGGATGAAGCTGTCCCTCGGTCAGCGGCGAGTTTGTCAATGGCCGAGTCCGGCAGGACTGGAGTTGAGAAATATTTCTCAAAATCCCCTGGGGGAAAATGATAATATGAGTCTACGCGCTTAGCATAGGCACTCCATGTCTTTGCGTGCATTATCCCATCGATGTGGTCAACGCACACGCGGTCCAGGGGCATTGTGGGAAATGCCCGGACCGGTTCTGTCGTCGGTCCCGATCTCTTCTTGAATGACTGACGTTCAGGAGGAGGAGGAGGTTCGGTCCCAGCAGGAAGATTCAGAACTCTGATCATATCACGTTGCACCAAGCGGAATTTTTTTTTTTTTTTTTTTTAATTTTTTTTTTTTCGGGTCAGCTCGCTCTCGTCTGCCGAGTTGTCAGAGTACGGGGGCGAGTTGTCACCGGGGAATGGGAACCAGGCCCCGGGGGCGAAGCAGCGCCGTCACGGTATCGAGCCCCGCTCGGACTCTAGTGACACCGATGGGTGTAAACTAATACCGGGCGGTGACGCCGGTGCACGGCTCTCCGTGCACGGCATTGTCCGCTGGTCTGTAGTCACCCCACCACGGCCGTGATGGCTGGCGGGTGGGGGCTGTAATTCTGGAGGGGACTCTGGCGCACGGCTAACCGTGTGCGGTATGTCGCTTTGGCCCGGAGTCATCCAGCTGTGAACGTAGTCTCCCTGTCGGCCCGACAATGAGGCCGCGAGGGAGTGAAAAGCCTCCAAAAAATCATCGCGTGAATTCGGGTCGCCACCCTTGTGGCGTTTCCCACGGTGTGATTGATCGGATGACTCACTAGAACTCGTCGAAGAACGGCGAGAACGGCGGTTCTTTTTCGATTTTTTTTCTTTTTTGAAGAACGACTCCGAGTAGTTGCCGAGGATTGCGGGGACACGGGGATGCCCGAACAACGAATAAAATCCGATGTAGAGGCATGGCCCTCCGAGCGTAGCGTTAACGCTCTGGGGGAATCCCAGGGATTCGGCTCTACGCTATCAATAGCCCGGGCGGCCGACAGCGCCCCCACGCCGGTAACATAGGCGGGTGCTGTACGGTCGATTAACCGGCCATATAACAGCCCATCCCCAGGCATCGTGGTAATCACGGGGCTGGGTGGGCCTGGGTGCACTGAGCCATGGAGGAGTACTTCCTCCGGCTGCGTGTGCCCCGTAGACGGACCAGGGACAGGCACGGTGCGCCCCGTAGCGGGGCCACCTTTTGCCGTACGTCCCTTTTTGGGTACTGCCCCGGCGTCAGACAATTTCCTTGTCTTGCCGGTGCGTTTCCCCTTCAGTTGGGCGGACCCGTGAATATTGACCGAAGACGGTGGGGTTGTACGGCCCCCCGCTTGGTCAACGGGTCCGTCAGCTCCGACAGCCGGCAGTGGCTGAAGGGGCCGACTAGGGGACTGCTGCCGCGGTGACGTACCATCACCGGTGCAGTCCCCCGAGAACTCGGGCTTGTCTGGTGGGATGTACGTCCCTCCATTATCGACACACCCAGTCCTCCCCAACTTCCTAGATTTACTCATTTCTTACTTCACTTTCACTCAAATACTTCACTAGAACAACTCTACAATAAACACTTTCTCTTTATTTCTTCGAAATAGCTTTCTCCAAGCAAAAGAGGTACCAATAAAATAGTGAAATTCAGGTCGATTGAAATTCCACGTTATACCTCGCCTGCGGCTAAGAGAAAAAGAGGACGCTAACGTAGTGCGCATGTCACAGGGCGTCGTGGGTAGGACACGTGAGGGCGCTATTGTATGTAAAACTCTTAGCGAATTGCCTGCCGGCATAGGGAACAATGCATATGTAGTATTCGCTCTACAGGTAAGTAGAGTGATGTAGACCTCACTGTTTTAATGGTTTGAACATTCGTTCAGCACTTGATTTTGGTTCAAGTCTTTCCATTTACTTGAATCTCATTTTGAAGTCGTTGTTTCACAACTTATCTTTGTGAGCCTTACAAGATTATTCATTCCAAGTGTTAAGTCCTTGCCTTTGACAAAGTAGCCGTATATATTATGTGGACACATTTCTGGTTTTTTTCCTAGTCTAGGGGCTAGACGCTGTTCTTGTTTGCTACGCCGATAACCGGCCACCGCGATAACCGGCCACCGCGAGAGGGCGCTATCACGACCAACCAATCACCCACGAACAGGTTCGTGGGTGATATTGGTTGGTCGTGATAGCGCCCTGATAGCGTCGTGATGTCGCGGTGGCGGGTTATCGGCGTAGCAAACAAGAGCAGCGTCTAGCCCCTAGACTATTTTTTTCCAAATCATTACACAAAGTCATGTCAAATTGTGGAAATGTTTAATTAATTACTTTTGGTGACGGTATTAAAAACGTGACATTCGCTCAAACTATTCGACTCTTTTCTTTCACTGTTTGTTTCAGTCTTTTGTTTGGTCTGTCTGTCTGTCTGTCTGTCTGTCGATCAGCTTTTGCTGGATTTCTGTCTGTCATCTGGATTTCTGTCTGAAAAATGTATTTATCGATCAGTAGGACTTGATCAAACATAATTTAGGAAAGAAAGCTTACTTCGGGGACAAAAAAGAAGGAAGGAAAAGAGACATGCAATAAAGATTATGGGATTTGACGCCCGTTGACCTACAAAATTTTTCAAAACCTCGTTTCTTTAAAAGTTGCAGACCAGCAGAGGGATTGCAGAGGGATTGGAGAGGGATTGCAGAGGAATTGGAGACGGATTGGAGATGAATTGGAGAGGGTTTAGAGAGGGGCGCCATACAGCAAGGTAGCTGCAAACAGAGGGCTTGTTTTTAGTCCAGAAATCGCAGATAGAGATTTTTTCTGGCAATTTTTTGATGAAACATTAGTCATTCATCCTTCCTCCTGCCGTACAAGTGGTTTGGGGGAATTTTTGAAAACCTCGTTTCTTTAAAGGTTGCAGACCAGTAAATCGGTCCGAAATTGCCTACGCCGACCAAATCACGATTTGCATGCTCTCAAAATCTTCAGTATTTGAGCATGCTTTTGGCCGTGAACTTAAGGGTTTGTAAAAAAAAAAAAAGGTTTTATTTACTGGTCTGGAACCATATCGTTTCTATGGCAGTACTGGTATGCGCATGCGTGTTAACAGTCGTGGAAGTTCGCTCGTACCCCCGCCCTGCAAATAGGACGCTGGTAAGGGCTGACGTCATTTGAGCTCTCATTGGATAGATTTGCGTGACCTGTGACGTAGAACGCGTCACACATACTAGCTTCCGGTGCCCATCATGCGTTGCGCGCTAGCTGCACGCGAAGGTCAATCTGTACTTCCTTCACAAGATTCTGTGAAGCTCATCAGCCCTTGCCAGCGTCCTGTTTGCAGGGCGGGGGGGGGGGGGGGACGAGCGAATCGTAGAAGATGTCGCCTGTGTTTTATTGTTGTGACTTTATCGTCTACTTCTTCGAGTAAAAAAGCCTGAATATCGTCAGTTCCTGGAAACTGATTGTTGAAATAAGACATATACAAAAATTAAGGATAGCCTCAAGATTGCATTAATACATTTTTGTACGATGACAACTTTTCATATGAGGTATAAGGATCATCGAAAAAAAATTGCACAGAGAAATTGTTGTCGGACTGTTGCGCAGCGCGCTACGGGGAGTTTACGCGTGTGAGCGGACAATCGTTGTGCATGAATACCGCGAAACGACGCGCTATCCCCCATGGACAAGTGGCAAATCACCCTGCGCGTATCTGCTAGGCTAGTGAGTCGCAGAATTCAGTGTCGTTT